AAACCTTTCATTGTGGGTGATATCATTGGGGGGTTGGGTTGATGGGACAGCCGAGGCCCCACCGTCTGTAAAAATTTTTTTCCCCTTGAAGGAGTTAAATGGGCAACAGCCTTGGAGTGAAAGATGGGAAGGTCCCCTCTTTGTAAAGCCTGACAGCTATTATAGATTTGTAAGTTGTTTCACTCCCCCAACACTAAGAGGGGAACCCTAATGATCCATGGAGAACAAGAAAGCCTCCCCCAAGTAAAGCACTTAGGATTCTCCTCACAAAAAAATGGGGCTATCGGGCAATAGAAAAAGGGCTCCTGGGGTCCCCCCAACTGATGAACCAAAAGAAACAGCCATCCCCTGTAGAAAATTGAAAGAGCTAAAGGATATTCACAAAAGTGACAAAAATGTGGGAAAGCCAGGGGCTGAGCGACAAGGAGCAAAAAAGAAAGGATAGGTGTTGACACAAGCAAAAAATGGTTTGTCTACAAGGGTTGCTAGTGGGGTCTGGTCACAAGTAATGGTATGAAAACAAAAGTGAAAAGGGGCCTAAACTGAGTGCAAAAGGGGTGACAGCTCTTAAAAACAGATTTTCAGTGAACAATATTCTAATTTCTATTTCATTTTCATCCTTTATTCACAAAAAAATTTTTTGTATACTAGAAATTTTTTCTAAATATGGTGGTTCATGGAATACATTTTGGAAATTTACCCAAATAACCCCAAAGTTTTATTTTAAATAAATTTGTTTCTATACGTTTTGCTAAAAACAAAATTTTTTTTGGGTTAAAGCAGTAAAAATTTAATTAGCATTAGAAATATCCTAAATCTACATTCCTTAGATATATAAATGAACAGCTTTGACATAAATTAATTTACAAAAATTTATAAATTTTTCTGCAAAAATTACCTGTAACATTTTGCCTGGCTGTTAAGATTTTTTGGAATGTAGAGTTTTTATGATTTGATGTGCGCTGGAGTGTAAGCGGGGTAACATTTAAAAGGGATTCGGGGAAACTGGTTAGGGGATTTCAGCCCAAGGGGTGATGAGTAAAAGTGCCTGCATTCTACAAGAATTTTCCAGTTAGGAGGGTCTCTGAACTATGATGTCAATGCCCTTAGGGCAACAGTGTTTAAGTGAGCAGTGAAAGTTATTTTTCTTCGTTGGGTCCCCCCTTCCTTGGGAACAGCGGGGAGGTTAAAAAATTAAACAAACTTCATGATAAAATGTTCAACTCTCTCTCTCCTTCCTCTTCACCCAGGAAAATTTGCATTCCTTATTTTTTTTTTACATTATACCAGAGAAATGTTAGTAACAGTCAAGCTCTGGCATTAAACATGCTTCATAATCAACAAGATTTCATTAAACAATGTTATTTACTGGGGGGCCCATTCAGGGAATACCTTTGATTATTAAATTTTTCTTGGTGCCTTTTTTATTTTTTGTGCACACACCCCTAAATTGAAAATTAGCCACAGGTTTGCATTGAAAATTGGCTCATTCTTTTCTGTCAATGTCAGTGCTAAGAAGATTAGAGGAATATTTAAGAAATAGGGCTAAAAATATTTAAATACAGTAACAAACACATGCAAATGTTCTGTTAACCTTTAGTTTCAGGATTAAAGGCACTCCAAGCACTTCATACTCATTAGATTAAACTTCTACTGTATTCAGTATCTTTCTAAAATTAATCTGATAGGTTTCAATTTCTTGAGCATTTAATAAATAAAAGAAAGGTGTATATTCTCGTAACATGTTTTAGCTTTCCCGATATTATATGAGCCCTAGCGCAGCACCCCCTTACCCGTTGGCGTGTAACTCCTCTTTGAGTTGTACAATTTTACTGTGTAGTGCCCCTTCACTAACCCGTCCTGCTTCTGCTTTGCTGGAGCCATCACGTCGCAACTGTTCTAACTGGCTCTCGTAGGTCGAGAGTCCCGTTGCAAACAGCCAACTTTCTCTTCTAAACTTGCTATTTCTTGCTGAGCTATAAAATACATAATAAAAATATTACAAAACTAGATTTTTCAAGTACATTATGAGAATATTCTAATAAACGTGTTAATTTTTTCCTAGTGAAAATTAAACAACTGAAGTGTGGCTTTCTAAATGTCCAAACTTTCTGACATGAGTAGCAAAATCCTCCATATTGGTTTGTTTTGAAGTTCTATTAGTGAAATAGGTGGTTGGCAAGAGAGCAAATGATAGAGCTAGCAAGAAAAAGAGCAAGGTGTGTGGTGAAACAAGAGGAGTTAGTAAGAAGCTGAGCAAGTGGGCAGGCAAGAAAGTGAGCAAGCAAATGGGTGGGCAAGAGAGAGATGTAGAGTGAATGGGCAATCGAAAGAGTGAGCAAGAAGTTAGATAAGTAACATTAGAGAAAACACTGTTTTCAAACCCCACCTGTTTTTACAGAACAGGTGGGATTTGAACTCATGGTAAACGAGTCCCAAAACTCACTTACCCTTGGGTCAAACCCCACCCATTGTGATTTGTTTGCAATCATGTTATGCATCATGATTTCTTGTGTCATATTATTATCCCTTTATATTAGATATAATAATATACAAGTAAACTCCATACCAAAAAAATAATAATTTATGTAGAATGTTGATAGCGAATGTGCTTTCTTTGGGTCACTCTGTCTTGGTGGGTGATGGCTATTACGATAAGGAATTTTTTTTTTTATATTTTTTATGTCTTATACAGCTAGCCCTCCACTTTTGTGAGCTTTGAACATTCTCGAATGCCCAGCAGCCCAATCATTTTTACCAAACAAATGCGGGAAAAAAGTATGGGAAAACACTTCCCAAAGCATCCCTATTACCCTCCCTCTTACCTCCTCAACCAGCAGCCCGCCACTCACTCATTGTCCAGTTACTGTTTGCGTAGGTGTGTCCAGTTACTGTTCATGTCCTACCGTATACATGTGTTTGTGTGGTGGTACAAGTATGGTCCCCAAGCGAGCAGCATCTACTATTGATGAGCCAACCCCTAGGCACTCAAAGAAAGTCATGAATCTGGAGGAGAAGATAAAATTGTTAGAAGTAGGCGGGGTTCACAAAAAGTCGGGGCCCTCGGGGAAATTTAAAGGGAAATTAAAAGGAGTTGAGAAAGGTGTTGGCTTGGGTTTTTTAAAACCCCAGGGAAGGGGAAAAATTTTAATTTGGAAAAACCGGGAGCCCCTTCTAAACTTCCCTTGGGGAAAACCCCCCTGTGGGGCCGGGTTTTTTTCAGATTTTTTGTTTATAATTACCCCATCAGAAAAAAATTTAAAGGTTTTAAACTAATCCAAAAAAAAATTTAATGGGGGAAGTTATCAAAGGGTTTTTCAGGGTTTCACGGGCCTTGGGGGGGAATGGATTAAAAAAGGGGTTTTTATTTAAATTTTTTTTTTATGTCCTTAACAGTTCCCCCTTTTGGATTTTAAAACTTGGGCGTGAGGGCCCCAATTATTTTTAAATTTTTAATAAAAAAGTTTTTTAAAATTTAAAGGTTTTACCTTTAAAAATTAAAAGGGCCAATATGCCCAAGAGTTTTCCTTGGGGTTATTTAATTTATTTTATAAATGTGTTTTTTTAAGAAAGGGTAACCAATTATATATGGGGAAAAACCCTGGCCCCCAAAAGAAGTTAAATTTTAAAAAGGGGAAAAAATTTTAAATGTGGGATTTATTTGAAACTTTTTTATTAAAAATTTTTAATTTAAATTTTTTTAAAAAATTTTGCTGAGGCCAAAAAAACCCTTCAAGCCCCCCCTTTTGGAAAAAACTAGGGCAAGTGATGAGAATGAAAAGACAGCTCAAAATTTTTTTTTTGGAATATAGGACCCATCAATTTTTGGGGCCCTTTTCAAGGTAGGGTTTGACATTGATGGGGAGCAAAATTTCCCCTACAAAATGTTTGTTTTTATTTTGAAGAGGAAACATTTCTCAGTTCCCCATCCCCAATGTTTTTCCCCAAAGGGAACCCTGCCACTACCCCTCCCCTTTTTCCCCCTAATGCCTCACCTGAACTCAACCCGTGGCAGAATCTGACTCTTTGCAATTGTCCCCAATTGGGACATGGCAGTAAAAGAGTTAGAACCCACTATTAGATCGTCATGCCTGCATTTACACTCCATATAACCCACCTCCATTAAACTGCCCATCAGAAAATGTTGGCTAAATTTTTCATCACCATTTATTGCCCTTGTCTTCATACCCAAAGTCATCAGCTTTTTTGTCTGCCTATCCTTATGATTGGTGAGTGCTTTGTTTTGTTCTTTTATTTGTTTTTAAAAACCTTTACTGTATACTTTATAAAAACATTTTAGGGTTTTTTATGTGTTTTATGATTTTTCATGGTTCATGGGGTTAAGGAAGCGTATGTTGGCTATTTTTATTTTTTTTCCTTACAATTTTTTTTGCACTTTAAAAAATTTCGCAAAATGCTACAGTACATTTACAGTGGCCCCCCGGTTTACGATCAGCCCCCCCAGTGGCCCAATTTAAAGGAAGTGTTTTTAAATGAAAAGGGGCGTTTTATATGTTTTATGTTTGGGGGGTCTGAAAGGGGATAATCAAATTTTCAAAATATTCCTTAGGGGAAACAAATTCGGTCAGTATGGCACCTAAATTTTTACTTCTGGAATGAAATAAAAATCGAAAACCGGGGGCCCACTGATTTTATACAGCAAAATTGTCATTTAACATTTTTTGTTTGGCAGGTTTTGGTTATAGCCCCTATGAAGAATTGTGGCATTTTTTTGTACCCCCACTTTGTTAAAAAAAAAATTTAAAACACTTCAGTTTGCGAGGGGGAAAAAAATTTTTAGCACGGGGTACCCGGGAAATTTCACTCTTTTGGCTGTGGGTTTTGCCATAGAGTCGTGGAGGAGACCTACTGCCCTCCGTTTACCTTTTCCCAGTCTTTGTTTCAAAATGCGTTGTAACAACCCCCCTCTGGAGGAGTTTAGATTTTTAAATTCCATATCTTAAAAAACTGCCCCAAACAATTTATGGGGCCTAGTAGGGGATACGGTTTTTGCTGAAAATGGCAAGAAAAGGTTTTAAGCATTTAGGTCTTTTGAATTAAAAAATGGGGGGGTAAAAAATGGTTTGTTTTGATGATGACTTGATGATTTTTCTGACTGCTTAAAAACTAGATTTTTTCACTGAAGGCCCCCCCCGAAACCCGTCTCTAGCGCAGCTGATGCCTTTCTGTCAAAATTTGGTTTTAACTACTGCGGGGTTTTAAAAAAAACAGAAAACCATTTCAAGGGGAAATTTAAAATAAACTCCAGTACAACCCAACTTCAGTACCAGAACCTTACCCTCCACCTTTGCCCCGTAAAGGGGCCCCAGCGTAAAAATCTCCCAATCATCCATAAAAAACCCGCACCCAAAAATTTAAGGAAAAAAATATATTTCGTTTTTTCTTTTTTCATTTGTAAAACTTAAAACAGCAAAAACATCACAATTTCATCACGACAATGAATACAATAACATATTCATTTTTATTTTTGTAAAAATCCCGTTTGGGCTTTAAAAAAAAAAAATTGTTTTTGGGTTTTTTGGGGGACCCGGAAATTTAAAACCCCATTTTTTTTCCCCAAGTTTTTCAGTTTTTTCTAACCAGTTTTTAACTAAAATGGCTTTTTTAGGAACGTAATTAACGTGGGTTTAAAAGTGATTTCTGTATTTCCCTACATTTTTTTGTGCCCCCAAAAAAATTTATGAATTTTACTATTTGTGAGGTTCTTTGGGTTCCCTAATGCTTTGTGAATGTTTGGGGGCCCCCCTTTATACATTAAAATAAAATCCTTTAAAAAAGGTGAATTGGATTTAAAAATTCCCCCCCCTTCAAATTACACTTTTTTCGCCCAAAATTTTTCTTTTAATAAAAAAGAAAGGTGGGTGAGGGGCTTGTACGTGATTTGTAGACTGATAGTTTGTGCTAAAAATGTTCGTTTGATTTCCCGGTTTCCCACGTTTTTAACCCGGTTTTATAGATTGATGGTCCCATGCCCAAAACCCCGGGTTGTGATTGATAGTCCAAAGTTAACCTGGTTTTTATAGATTTATAGTTGGCACAAAAACCCGGGTTTTTAGCCTCTTTATCCTTCTGTTTATTCACTGGGCGTTGTTTATTTTTCAACTGAATTTTAGTTCATTTTACCTCTTTTTTAATTTTTAAATTTTCCAAAAGCAGGAAAACACTTTTTTTTTGTTTTTATGATTTTTGTGCCTGAATCAAGTGTCAAATAATAAATATCTTTGCTTTTTCATTATAATTTTTTTATTCTATTTTTTGGAAAAAATTAATCCCTGATTTTGGGTTTTTGGTTACACAAAATTTTTTATTTTTTATTTTTTTTTTTCTTTTTATATTTATTACCATAATTTTATTTTAATTAGGTTTTTGGTTTTAAAAAAACCCCGGGGAATTTAAAACCCTCCTAATTTTTTGGAAACAAAAACCCTTTTTTTTTTTTCTTGGTAGGGTTTCGGTTTTTTTTTTTCCCTTTTCATAAAACCGGGCCCCAAATAAAGGGAGGTACTTTCTCTCCAAATTTGGTCAAAAACTTTTTGCCCGTAATCCTTATAATTTCTCTCAGGTTTTTTTCCCTTTTTCTGGGAATTAAGAACCTTTTTTCTTTTTTTTATTTCTTTTTTCCCTTAAGTAAAAAAAAAAAGGGAAAAAAAAAAAAGAAAAGGAAATTTTTGTGGGGGGTTTTTGGGGCAAAAGGGGTCAATTTTTTTTTTTAATATTTTAAAAAAAAAAGGAAAAATTTTTTAAAAATGGGGGGTTTTTAAATTTTAAAGGTTTAAAAAAGAAAAATTTCCAAAAAAAAAAAATTTATTCCCGGTAAAAAAAAGGCCCGTGGGGGTGGTAGTTCCCTTTGGGGGGGGTGAAAGGGGTTTAAATTTTAACTGATTTACAAAAATTTTTTTCCTGTAATTTTTAAAGTTTGGAAGGGAAAAAAGGGAAAAAATGAGGGGAAAAGGAGAATTGGTTGTTAAATTATAAATTAAAAAGAAAAGGTTTTTTTTTCGGAATGGGGCCTTGCCTGGGTTTTTTTGGAAAAGAAGGAAAAAGAGGAAAAAAAGAAATTTTGGGGTTGTGAAATTAACCTTTTTAAACCCAAAGAAAATTTTGGGGGGGGCTTTAATTTAAGAAAAATTTTAAGGGGGGGTTGGGATTTTAATTTTGGGGGCCCCCGAGGGAAAAATAAGGGGGGTTTATTAATTTTATAAAAGGGGGTTTTTTTTTATTTTTCTTTTTTAAGGGGATAAAAAATTAAAGTATATTGGGGAAGAAATATTTTTTGGGAAGTTTGGGAGGATGGGGAGATTTTGGGGTTTTTTATGAGGGGGGAAAATATATTTTGGAACTTTTAAATTTTTAACCCAGGGAAAAAGGGAGGGGTTAAAATTTTTGAACTTGGGAAGGGAGGTATTTTCTAAAAAATTTTGGGTTAAGTTTTAAAAAGGATTGGGGGGTTGTGGGGGAAGGGCAAGGCAGGGGCAAAGAAGGAAAAAGGGGGAAAAAAAGTGGTTTTGGGTTTAGCAGAAATTTTTTAAAAGGGGGAGGAAAAGGGAGGGTTGGGTATTTTGTGGTTAAGGGAAAAGGGTTCCTAAAGAAAAATTTTAAAGGTAAGTGGATGAGTTTGAGAATGTGTGTAAAGGTAGAAAGTTGAAAGTGAACATAGAAAAGAGTAAGGTGATGAGGGTATCAAATGATTTAGATAAAGAAAAATTGGATGTCAAATTGGGGAGGAGGAGTATGGAAGAAGTGAATGTTTTCAGATACTTGGGAGTTGACGTGTCGGCGGATGGATTTATGAAGGATGAGGTTAATCATAGAATTGATGAGGGAAAAAAGGTGAGTGGTGCGTTGAGGTATATGTGGAGTCAAAAAACGTTATCTATGGAGGCAAAGAAGGGAATGTATGAAAGTATAGTAGTACCAACACTCTTATATGGATGTGAAGCTTGGGTGGTAAATGCAGCAGCGAGGAGACGGTTGGAGGCAGTGGAGATGTCCTGTCTAAGGGCAATGTGTGGTGTAAAATATTATGCAGAAAATTCGGAGTGTGGAAATTAGGAGAAGGTGTGGAGTTAATAAAAGCATTAGTCAGAGGGCAGAAGAGGGTTGTTGAGGTGGTTTGGTCATTTAGAGAGAATGGATCAAAGTAGAATGACATGGAAAGCACATAAATCTATAGGAAGGAAAGAGGGGTAGGGGTCGTCCTCGAAAGGGTTGGAAAGAGGGGGTAAAGGAGGTTTTGTGGGCGAGGGGCTTGGACTTCCAGCAAGCGTGCATGAACGTGTTAGATAGGAGTGAATGGAGACGAATGATACTTGGGACCTGACGATCTGTTGGAGTGTGAGCAGGGTAATATTTAGTGAAGGGATTCAGGGAAACCGGTTATTTTCATATAGTCGGACTCGAGTCCTGGAAATGGGAAGTACAATGCCTGCACTTTAAAGGAGGGGTTTGGGATATTGGTAGTTTGGAGGGATATGTTGTGTATCTTTATACGTATATGCTTCTAAACTGTTGTATTCTGAGCACCTCTGCAAAAGCAGTGATAATGTGCGAGTGTGGTGAAAGTGTTGAATGATGATGAAAGTATTTTCTTTTTGGGGATTTTCTTTCTTTTTTGGGTCACCCTGCCTCAGTGGGAGACGGCCGACTTGTTGAAAAAAAAAAAAAAATGTATGAAAGAGGGGAAGGTACCTAGAGATTGGCGGAGAGCATGTACAGTCCCTTTATATAAAGGAAGGGGGACAAAAGAGATTGTAAAAATTATAGAGGAATAAGTTTACTGAGTAAACCAGGAAAAGTGTACAGTAGGGTCATAACTGAAAGAATTAGAGGAAAGACAGAATGTAGGAATGCAGATGAGCAAGAAGGTTTCAGAGTGGGTAGGGGATGTTTAGATCAAGTGTTTACATTGAAGCATATATGTGAACAGTATTTAGATAAAGGTAGGGAAATTTTTGTTTCATTTATGGATTTAGAAAAGGCATATGATAGAGTGGATAGGGGAGCAATGTGGCAGATGTTGCAAGTTTATGGAATAGGTGGTAAGTTACTAAATGCTGTAAAGAGTTTTTATGAGGATAGCGAGGCTCGGGTTAGGGTGTGTAGAAGAGAGGGAGACTACTTCCCGGTAAAAGTAGGTCTTAGACAGGGATGTGTAATGTCACCACGGTTGTTTAATATATTTATAGATGGGGTTGTAAAAGAAGTAAATGCTAGGGTGTTCAGGAGAGGGGTGGGAATATATTATGGGGAATCAAATACTAAATGGGAATTGACACAGTTGCTTTTTGCTGATGATACTGTGCTTATGGGAGACTAAAGAAAAATTGCAAAGGTTAGTGGACGAGTTTGGGAGTGTGTGTAAAAGTAGAAAGTTGAAAGTGAACATAGAAAAGAGTAAGGCAATGAGGGTATCAAACGATTTAGATATAGAAAAATTGGATATCAAATTGGGGAGGAGGAGTATGGAAGAAGTGAATGTTTTCAGATACTTGGGAGTTGATGTGTCAGCGGATGGATTTATGAAGGATGAGGTTAATCATAGAATTGATGAGGGAAAAAAGGCGAGTGGTGCATTGAGGTATATGTGGAGACAAAAAACATTGTCTATGGAGGCAAAGAAGGGAATGTATGAAAGTATAGTAGTACCAACACTCTTACATGGGTGTGAAGCTTGGGCTGTGAATGCAGCAGCAAGGAAGCAGTTGGAGGCAGTGGAGATGTCCTGTCTAAGGGCAATGTGTGGTGTAAACATTATGCAGAAAACTCGGAGTGTGAAAATTAGGAGAAAGTGTGGAGCTAATAAAAGTATTAGTCAGAGGGCTGAAGAGGGGTTGTTGAGGTGGTTTGGTCATTTAGAGAGAATGGATCAAAGTAGAATGACATGGAGAGCATTTAAATCTGTAGGGGAAGGAAGGCGGGGTAGGGGTCGTCCTTGAAAAGGTTGGAAGGAAGAGGTAAGGGAGGTTTCGTGGGCGAGGGGCTTGGACTTACAGCAGGCGTGCGTGAGCGTGTTCGATAGGAGTGAATGGAGACGAATGGTATTTGGGACCTGACGATCTGTTGGAGTGTGAGCAGGGTAATATTTAGTGAAGGGATTCAGGGAAACTGGTTATTTTTATATAGCTGGACTTGAGTCCTAGAAATGGGAAGTACAATGCCTGTGCTCTAAAGGAGGGGTTCGAGATATTGACAGTTTTGAGGGATAAGTTGTGTATCTTTATACGTATATGCTTCTAAGCTGTTGTGTTCTGAGCACCTCTGCAAAAACAGTGATTATGTGTGAGTGAGGTGAAAGAGTTGAATGATGATGAAAGTATTTTCTTTTTGGGGATTTTTTCTTCCTTTTTGGGTCACCCTGCCTCGGTGGGAGACGGCCGACTTGTTAAAAAAAAAAAAAAATATGAAGCCGAGTTTGAAATTAAATTAAAGTGTTTTGGAGGCATATTTAGGGTTTAAACTATAATAATGGGCATTTATAGGCATTTTTTAACCATGTCCAGTATTCATGGTTTTTCCAAATTTGCACGTAGTCTTGGAACGTAACCCCTGCGAATTTGGGGGGACTATTGTAATGCCTCCCATACTTGCTCCATTTTTTTAAAACAGCTTTTACCATTTGAAAAATTTGTTGACAAAACAACAGACTATTTGCCAAGATCTATCAATCCTCTACACACCTCACAAATTTACCTTCTTTACTTTTATATGGCTTCTAAGTTAATAAAATATTTATAAATTAAACTTGGCTAATTAAGAAAACTCTCGGAACTCATCAAAGGTGAAAAATGGTATATGCCCTGAGCTGTACCTAAGTGACTTTTTCCTCATCAAAGGTATTCAGTGTAAGTAGTAGTGGAGGCTTGATCCTCCACCTTCCAATCCCAGCTGGTTTCTCAACACTCAGGTTGATTGTGATCTTATGTTATAAGTAATATCTGAGGACTTTAAAGCCTCTACTATACTTAGAATTATTATGGGAGATTATACTTACCAAGCATCATGGACCTGTGTTTCTCCTCCTCAAAACGCAGGGCCGAGTCATCTCTTTCACGCTGCAACTTTTCAGTAAAACGTTTAAGAGAGGAAATTTCTTGATCTTTCTTGAGCTCGAGCTCATCCTTCTCCATCTTCAGAGAATGGATGGTTGAATTCAATTTGTCTTCTAGCTCAGACTGCAAATTATTCTGAAAATATAATTACAATTAGTGTTGAAAGTGAACATACTCCCTCCATCACACTGGAGGGAGGGAGTATGGAAGTAAATGTGTTCAGATATTTGGGAGTAGATTTGTGAGCAGATGGATATATGAAGGAAGAGGTTAACTGTAGAAGTGAAAAAAAAAGGCGAGTGATGCATTGAGGTATTTGTGGAGACAAAAAAAGTTATCCATGGCAGCAAAGAAGGGAATGTATGTAGTGGTACCAACACTCTTATATGAACATGGAGCATGGGTTGTAAATGCTGCAGTGAGGAGGAAGCTGGAAGTGGTGGAGATGTCGTGTCTAAGGGTAGTGTGTGGTTTAAATATTATGTAGAGAACTTGTAATATGGAAATTAAGAGATGTGAGGTTACAAAAAGTATTATTAAGAGGGATGAAGAGGGGTTATTGAGGTGGTTTGGTCATTTACAGAGGTTGGAGCAAAATAAAATGACTTGGAGGGTGTATAAATCTGTAGTGGAGGGGAGGAGGGGTAGGGGTCACTAAGAAAGGATGGAGGGAGGGGGTAAAACAGGTTTTGTGTGTAAGGGGCTTGGACATGCAGCAGGCATGTGTGAGCGTGTTGGATAGGAGTGAATGGCACTGAATGGTTGTTGGGACCTGATGACTTGTTGGAGTGTGAGCAGGATAATATATTGTGAAGAGATTCAGGGAAGTATACTGCATGAACTTTCAAGTAAGCACCTCTGCAAAGATAGTGATTGCATGTGAATGATGGTGAAAGTGGCCATCTCCCACCGTGCCTCGGTGGGAGATGGCCAACGTGATGAAATTTTTTTTTTTATATATACACGTACTAGGTGTTACTGATGTTAGTATGTACAAACTCTTACTGAAACATTATAAACAATTAAGACAAACTTAACTCAGATAAAGTGCTTACCTTTTCCTTGCGTAAGTCATCTATAGTTTCTTCCTGCTGATCACGTAATGCCATCATCGCCTTTTTATGCTCTGTTTCCTTCTCATCCAAGCGGCGTTCCAATACAGTTCTTGCTTCCCGAAGCTTGGTCAGCTCACCCTCAAGTTCACGTTGGAGTTTATTCATCTAAAATAATCACAAAATTATCACATATACCAAATTACGTGAGGTACTCGTTAAAAAAATATGCATATTACTATTATAATTATTCTTCTTTCTTTCAACAAACCGGCCATATCCCACCGAGGCAGGGTGGCCCGAAAAGAAAAACAAAAGTTGCTCTTTTTATATTTAGTAATTTATACAGGAGAAGGGGTTACTAGCCCCTTGCTCCCGGCATTTTAGCCGCCTCTTACAACACGCATGGCTTACGGAGGAAGAATTCTGTTCCACTTCCCCATGGAAGTAAGAGGAAATAAACAAGAACAAGAACTAGTAAGAAAATAGAAGAAAACCCAGAGGGGTGTGTATATATATGCTTATACATGTATGTGTAGCGTGACCTAAGTGTAAGTAGAAGTAGCAAGACATACCTGAAACCTTGCATGTTCATGAGACAAAAATGGACACCAGCAATCCTACCATCATGTAAAACAATTACAGGCTTTCGTTTTACACTCACTTGGCAGGACGGTAGTACCTCCCTGGGTGGTTGCTGTCTACTAACCTACTACCTACAATTATTATAATTATGAAGCATTAAACTTCTGGGGGATCATTTTACACTAGGAAATGGGAGATAATTAGGTTTGATCCAAGGAAGGAGAAGATAACTCTAATTCTATTGATCAAGAGCCCTTCATCAGCATCAAGGCACCCCTCCCATGGAAGGAATAAATAAGAATAACCAAGTTTATTGTCAAGATTAATAAAGAAAGTCCAAGACTTAACACACTACAAGTTACACACACATTCACAAATGCAGCACTCAGAAACCAATTAACATTTTACAAGAGCTAGGCTGCTGTATGAATAAGCATGAACAACAATTCTGGGTATAATTTTTTCTACATAAATACCACAGTAATAAAAAAGAAAGATGAATGCAATGTTGGTATTTTATCCCATTTGTTTCCACCTTGATAATAAGGAGAAACACCAGCAGTAACTTAAGTTAATATGCAAATCAGAATAAAGTTTAAGCTGTCAAATTATTCAAAGATTAAGAAGGGAAGAAATCCACTTCACCTGTGTATGGAGTCGTTCTTTATCAGAATTCAACTGCTGATTCTCCTTCTCCAGTTGAGAACGACGAGCTTCATTGTTTGACCATTTCTTCTCGAGGGACGAGGCAAAACTCTCCAAGCTCTGTTTCTCTGCCTTCAGTGTTGCCAATGATTCCCGCAGCACACTCAACTCCTTATCTGCCCCTGACAGTCGTACCTGCAGAATGAGCAATCAGTAACAAGTATTTCTTTACTAATATGAACTAGAGAAACAGTTAAAGGCTTTCATACACTAATATATTATACAAAAGACTGGACTGATATGTTTGTCTACTGTTAAATGCTTGACAATATTTATATTGTCAAATTTTATGTTCCAAGGTCTTGCCTGAAATACTATACATCACTAAGTTTTTTATTTAAAATTTGTACACAAAGTTAACCCTTCTGTAATATCATTCAACACTTTCACTATCACCCATACATAATCACTGTCTTTGCAGAGGCACTCAGATACAACAGTTTAGATGTCCCTCCAAACTGCCAATATCCCAAACCTCTCCTTTAAAGTGCAGACATTGTACTTCCCATTTCCAGGACTCAAGTCCGACTAACCGGTTTCCCTGAATCCCTTCACAAAATATTACCCTGCTCACACTCCATTATTATTGATATAATTAGCATGTATAGTCCCTTTATATAAAGGGAAAGGGGACAAAAGAGACTGTAAAAATTATAGAGGAATAAGCTTACTGAGTATACCAGGAAAAGTGTACGGTAGGGTTATAATTGAAAGAATTAGAGGTAAGACAGAATGTAGGATTGCGGATGAGCAAGGAGGTTTTAGAGTGGGTAGGGGATGTGTAGATCAGGTGTTTACATTGAAGCATATATGTGAACAGTATTTAGATAAAGACAGGGAAGTTTTTATTGCATTTATGGATTTAGAAAAGGCATATGATAGAGTGGATAGAGGAGCAATGTGGCAGATGTTGCAAGTATATGGAATAGGTGGTAAGTTATTAAATGCTGTAAAGAGTTTTTTATGAGGATAGTGAGGCTCAGGTTAGGGTGTGTAGAAGAGAGGGAGACTACTTCCCGGTAAAAGTAGGTCTTAGACAGGGATGTGTAATGTCACCATGGTTGTTTAATATATTTATAGATGGGGTTGTAAAGGAAGTAAATGCTAGGGTGTTTGGGAGAGGGGTGGGATTAAATTATGGGAATCAAATTCAAAATGGGAATTGACACAGTTACTTTTTGCTGATGATACTGTGCTTATGGGAGATTCTAAAGAAAAATTGCAAAGGTTAGGGGGATGAGTTTGGGAATGTGTGTAAAGGTAGAAAGTTGAAAGTGAACAATAGAAAAGAGTAAGGTGATGAGGGTGTCAAATGATTTAGATAAAGAAAAATTGGATATCAAATTGGGGAGGAGGAGTATGGAAGAAGTGAATTTTTTTCAGATACTTGGGAGTTGACGTGTCGGCGGATGGATTTTTGAAGGATGAGGTTAATCATAGAATTGATGAGGGGAAAAAAAGGGGAGTGGTGCGTTGAGGTATATGTGGAGTCAAAAAACGTTATCTATGGAGGCAAAGAAGGGAATGTATGAAAGTATAGTAGTACCAACACTCTTATAGGGTGTGAAGCTTGGGTGTAAATGCAGCAGCGAGGAGACGGTTGGAGGCAGTGGAGATGTCCTGTTTAAGGGCAATGTGTGGTGTAAATATTATGCAGAAAATTCGGAGTGTGGAAATTAGGAGAAGGTGTGGAGTTAATAAAAGTATTAGTCAGAGGGCAGAAGAGGGGTTGTTGAGGTGGTTTGGTCATTTAGAGAGAATGGATCAAAGTAGAATGACATGGAAAGCATATAAATCTATAGGGGAAGGAAGGCGGGGTAGGGTCGTCCTCGAAAGGGTTGGAGAGAGGGGGTAAAGGAGGTTTTGTGGGTAAGGGGCTTGGACTTCCAGCAAGCGTGCGTGAGCGTGTTAGATAGGAGTGAATGGAGACGAATGGTACTTGGGACCTGACGATCTGTTGGAGTGTGAGCAGGGTAATATTTAGTGAAGGGATTCAGGGAAACCGGTTATTTTCATATAGTCGGACTTGAGTCCTGGAAATGGGAAGTACAATGCCTGCACTTTAAAAGGAGGGGTTTGGGATATTGGCAGTTTGGAGGGATATGTTGTGTATCTTTATGTGTGTATGCTTCTAGACTGTTGTATTCTGAGCACCTCTGCAAAAACAGTGATAATGTGCGAGTGTGGTGAAAGTGTTGAATGATGATGAAAGTATTTTCTTTTGGGGATTTTCTTTCTTTTTTTTGGGTCACCCTGCCTCGGTGGGAGACGGCCGACTTGTTGAAAAAAAAAAAAAAAAAAAAAAAAAAAAAAAATTAGTATTATTATTACTCTTTTTTTTTTTAAACCTCAGTGGCTGTCTCCTACTCAGGAAGGATGACCACTAAAAAAAGGAAACACATTCATCATCTTTCATTCAATTGCAGTCTTGCCAGAAGTGTAGTGACATCACAATTCAGATTACTCTCAGAGTGCAACATCTCCACCCCTCCTTCAGAGTGTAGGCATAGTCATATACAGTCGGGTCCCTCTTTATGGCGTTTCGCCTTACGGTGTTCCACTAATACGGCAATTTCGAATTATGACCAAAACTCGCTATACGGCTCCGTCTTTCTAAGACGGCGCCCCCACCCTGTTTGTTTAAATTCTCTGTGAGCACATCTCTATGTCTAGAAACTTTCCATAATTTCAAGTGTTTTAAAGTTATTGCATATTTTATATATACAGCCTCTCCTCACTTAATGACGGAGTTCCGTCCCTGAGCCCACGTCATTAAGTGAGAAGCATACTATAATGGTAGCGAGTTTGTGTCAGTCATCTTTGATATTGTTTTAATGTCACCGTTGCACCATTTACAACATTTCTGGTATATATTTAAATGTTTATACAGTATTATTTATTTATTAATACACTGGCCGATTCCTACGAAGGCAGGGTGGCCCAAAAAAAGAAAAACTTTCACCATCATTCACTCCATCGCTGTCTTGCCAGAAGGGTGTTTTACAGCACAGTTTTTAAACTGCAACATTAACACCCCTCCTTCAGAGTGCAGGCACTGTACTTCCCATTTCCAGGACTCAAGTCTGGCCTGCCAGTTTCCCTGAATCCCTTCATAAATGTTACTTTGCTCACACTCCAACAGAACGTCAAGTATTAAAAACCATTTGTCTCCATTCACTCCTATCAAACATGCTCACGCATGCCCGCTGGAAGTCCAAGCCCCTCGCACACAAAACCTCCTTTACCCTCTCCCTCCAACCTTTCCTAGGCCGACCCCTACCCCACCTTCCTTCCGCTACAGACTGATACACTCTTGAAGTCATTCTGTTTCACTCCATTCTCTCTACATGTCCGAACCACCTCAACAACCCTTCCTCAGCCCTCTGGACAACAGCTTTGGCAATCCCGCACCTCCTCCTAACTTCCAAACTACGAATTCTCTGCATTATATTCACACCACACATTGCCCTCAGACATGACATCTCAACTGCCTCCAGCCTTCTCCTCGCTGCAACATTCATCACCCATGCTTCACACCCATATACAGTAGTATACTGTATATTGAAATAAATAGAATAGAAGAAATTGGCTCTAATATACATTATTTAGGTATGAATACTGATCAGAGCCTGCCATAAGTCTGAGGCATCGGCAAATGAGTATGTCACTAAGTGAGGAGAGGATGTACTCTGATGATTATACTTACGTGTACCTGTATCTAAATATACTTACACAATGTGCCGGCATGCAGGTGCACATTAAAATCACTAAGTGTGTCCCTCTAGTCTTAATGCCATAGTAATAATACTAGTATGTAATACTAATCAATCTTGGGCACATTAAATGTCTTATTTTACATTAATACATGATTTTTTGTGAATATTTTTGGGTGTCTGGAAAGGATAATTGTTTTTTTTTCTTTTTTTTTTTCAACAAGTCGGCAGTCTCCCACCGAGGCAGGGTGACCCAAAAAAGAAAGAAAATCCCCAAAAAGAAAATACTTTCATCATTATTCAACACTTTCACCTCACTCACACATTATCACTGCTTTTGCAGAGGTGCTCAAAATACAACAGTTTAGAAGCATATACGTATAACGATACACAACATATCCCTCCAAACTGCCAATATCCCAAACCCCTCCTTTAAAGTGCAGGCATTGTACTTCCCATTTCCAGGACTCAAGTCCGACTATATGAAAATAACTGGTTTCCCTGAATCCCTTCACTAAATATTACCCTGCTCACACTCCAACAGATCGTCAGGTCCCAAGTATCATTCGTCTCCATTCACTCCTATCTAACACGCTCATGCACGCTTGCTGGAAGTCCAAGCCCCTTGCCCACAAAACCTCCTTTACCCCCTCTTTCCAACCCTTTCGAGGACGACCCCTACCCCTCCTTCCTTCCCCTGTAGATTTATATGCTTTCCATGTCATTCTACTTTGATCCATTCTCTCTAAATGACCAAACCACCTCAACAACCCCTCTTCTGCCCTCTGACTAATGCTTTTATTAACACCACACATTGCCCTTAGACAGGACATCTCCACTGCCTCCAACTGTCTCCTCGCTGCTGCATTTACCACCCAAGCTTCACATCCATATAAGAGTGTTGGTACTACTATACTTTCATACATTCCCTTCTTTGCCTCCATAGATAACGTTTTTTGACTCCACATATACCTCAACGCACCACTCACCTTTTTTCCCTCATCAATTCTATGATTAACCTCATCCTTCATAAACCCATCCGCCTACACATCAACTCCCAAGTATCTGAAAACATTCACTTCTTCCATACTCCTCCTCCCCAATTTGACATCCAATTTTTCTTTATCTAAATCATTTGATACCCTCATCACCTTACTCTTTTCTATGTTCACTTTCAACTTTCTACCTTTACACACATTCTCAAACTCATCCACTAACCTTTGCAATTTTTCTTTAGAATCTCCCATAAGCACAGTATCATCAGCAAAAAGCAACTGTCAGTTTCCATTTTGAATTTGATTCCCCATAATTTAATCCCACCCCTCTCCCGAACACCCTAGCATTTACTTCTTTTACAACCCCATCTATAAATATATTAAACAACCATGGTGACATTACACATCCCTGTCTAAGACCTACTTTTACCGGGAAGTGTTCTCCCTCTCTTCTACACACCCTAACCTGAGCCTCACTATCCTCATAAAAGCTCTTTACAGCATTTAGTAACTTACCATCTATTCCATAAACTTGCAACATCTGCCACATTGCTCCTCTATCCACTCTATCATATGCCTTTTCTAAATCCATAAATGCAATAAAAACTTCCCTACCTTTATCTAAATACTGTTCACATATATGCTTCAATGTAGACACTTGATCTACACATCCCCTACCCACTCTGAAGCCTCCCTGCTCATCCGCAATCCTACATTCTGTCTTACCTCTAATTCTTTCAATTATAACCCTACCGTATACTTTTCCTGGTATACTCGGTAAACTTATTCCTCTATAATTTTTACAATCTCTTTTGTCCCCTTTCCCTTTATATAAAGGGACTATACATGCTCTCTGCCAATCCCTAGGTACCTTCCCCTCTTTCATACATTTATTAAACAAAAGTACCAACCACTCCAACACTATATCCCCCCCTGCTTTTAACATTTCTGTCATGATCCATCAGTTCCAGCTGCTTTACCCCCTTTCATTCTACGTAATGCCTCACGTACCTCCACCACACTTACATTCTGCTCTTCTTCACTCCTAAAAGATGGTATACCTCCCTGGCCAGTGCATGAAATTACCGCCTCCCTTTCTTCCTCAACATTTAAAAGTTCCTCAAAATATTCTCGCCATCTACCTAATACCTCCCTCTCCCCATCTACTAACTCCCCTACTCTGTTTTTAACTGACAAATCCATACTTTCCCTAGGCTTTCTTAACTTGTTTAACTCACTCCAAAATTTTTACTTATTTTCATTAAAATTTCTTGACAGTGCCTCTCCCACTCTTTCATCTGGCTCTCCTTTGCACTCTCTCACCACTCTCTTCACCTTTCTTTTACTCTCCATATACTCTGCTCTTCTTATAACACTTCTGCTTTGTAAAAACCTCTCGTAAGCTACCTTTTTCTCTTTTATCACACCCTTTACTTCATCATTCCACCAATCACTCCTCTTTCCTCCTGCCCCCACCTCCTATAACCACAAACTTCTGCCCCACATTCTAATACTGCATTTTTAAAACTATTCCAACCCTCTTCAACCCCCCACTACTCATCTTTGCACTAGCCCACCTTTCTGCCAATAGTCGCTTATATCTCGCCCGAACTTCCTCCTCCCTTAGTTTATACACTTTCACCTCCCTCTTACTTGTTGTTGCCACCTTCCTCTTTTCCCATCTACCTCTTACTCTAACTGTAGCTACAACTAAATAATGATCCAATATATCAGTTGCCCCTCTATAAACATGTACATCCTGGAGCCTACCCATCAACCTTTTATCCACCAATACATAATCTAACAAACTACTTTCATTACGTGCTACATCATACCTTGTATATTTATTTATCCTCTGTTTCATAAAATATGTATTACTTATTACCAAATTTCTTTCTACACATAGCTCAATTAAAGGCTCCCCATTTACATTTACCCCTGGCACCCCAAATTTACCTACTACTCCCTCCATAAGATTTTTACCCACTTTAGCATTGAAATCCCCAACCACCATTACTCTCACACTTGATTCAAAACTCCCCACGCATTCACTCAACATTTCCCAGAATCTCTCTCTCTCCTCTACACTTCTCTCTTCTCCAGGTGCATACACGCTTACATAACCCACTTTTCACATCCAATCTTTATTTTACTCCACATAATCCTTGAATTTATACATTTGTAGTCCCTCTTTTCCTGCCATAGCTTATCCTTCAACATTATTGCTACTCCTTCTTTAGCTCTAACTATTTGAAACCCTGACCTAATCCCATTTATTCCTCTCCATTGAAACTCTCCCACCCCCTTCAGCTTTGTTTCACTTAAAGCCAGGACATCCAGTTTCTTCTCATTCATAACATCCACAATCATCTCTTTCTTATCATTTGCACAACATCCACGCACATTCAGACTTCCCACTTTGACAATTTTCTTCTTATTCTTTTTAGTAATCTTTACAGGAAAAGGGGTTACTAGCCCATTGTTCCCGGCATTTTAGTTGACTTTTACAACACGCATGGCTTACGGAGGAAAGATTCTTATTCCACTTCCCCATGGATATAAAAGGAAAAGTAATAAGACCAAGAACTATTATAGATAAAATCAAAGAAAACTCAGATGAGTGTGTATAAATAAACGTGTACATGTATGTGTAGTGTGACCTAAGTGTAAGTAAAAGTAGCAAGATATGCCTGATAATTGTATTTGCATTAATTCTTATGGGAAATATTATTTCGGTTTTCGACCATTTCGGTTTTAGGCCGACCTTCTGGAACGGATTATGGCTGATAACTGAGGGTCCACTGTATAGACATTTTCACTAATACATCTATGATATTTTCTTCAAAATTATATAAGAAACACATTACATAGCATATAAATATGCTATGTTTATATGCTATGGAGGTGTGGTAGCTGGCGGAGAGAAAACATTGTTTTCTCTGGTCCAGCATGAGAGAAAACATGTATGAATCTGTGTTTGGCCCAGTCACTCCCCTTAACTGTGTTTATTTACAATTCTCAGCATAAATTATTATTATTACTTCTTGCTTCACTTATGATGGCATCTAAAGGTAGTCATTGGAAATGATTGAACTCGGTGAACAAGGTATGCTGATGGAAACGTTGCTCTGGGCTGCGTTAAATATCACATAGCTTTGTAGGTAGGTGTAGCCCAGGCTACCTACACCTGACTTAGTACAAATAAATACAACTCACCTCTTATCATACATTAAGACTACACGTATTTTAAGGTAAATAACAAGTGTACTGTATGTGTATTTTATCTCCCTCAGCTGCTTTAAATATATATTAAGTCTGGGATGGGGAGCCAGGGCTACCTACACCTGACTTCCTACAAATAAGTACTACTCACCTCTTGCCCTACATTAACACTACAAATATTTTAAGGTAAGTACATAATAAATGTACCGTGTATGTATTTTACTTATTACCGTGTTTTTTAATGCCTAGTTCTATTACTAACATAATGTAAGTTAGTGTAAACTTGTTGTCTGGCATTTATATGCATTTATAAATGGAAAAAATGGCATTCTGCTTTCTGGCGATGTCCGCTTTCCAGTAGCAGCCTGGAACCTAACTTGCCGTACATGTCGGGCCCTACTGTATACACATGAACATATAATGACATACATATAATATGACAGGACACAAATGTGAAATGATCTTACTATGGTGAAAAGCATTATAACTCCATTTGGAGAGTTGCACTCTTGGTAAACAACTACAGTGCAAATCCAACTCATAATTGAAGGTGAAGCAGGGAAAAAAAAAATTATAAATGCAAATTATTAATTATAATCAAATATCAAGTTCATATACAGAAACATACCTCCATCTCTGCATTTTCCTTAGTAAGTCCTTCTTTGTCAGTGTTGAGCTGCTCAATAAGTTTGAGTTTATCAGTCAGTGTGTTAGTTAGGGTGGTGAGTTCACTCTCTAAAGATGTTTTGATACGCTCCAGAGCTGTTAGCTGACCATGCAGTTCATTACGTTCTGAGATGGTGTCATTCAGTTCTAATTCAATCTGTGGGAAAAGAAGTTTTATAATTAAAATTAGTGAACATTAAGAACATAAACTAATTCCAAATAGAAGTCAAAAGCTTTTTTTCTTCTGGAAACTTTCCATACTGATAATCCCAATTTATAATAGAGAGTTTAATGGTACAGAATATTTTTTTTTAATACTAGCTATTTCCCAACAAGAGAGGTCAACCAAGGAAGAAATACACAAATGCACTTTTGCACCTGAGAGAAATACAAAAATAATTTTAGACAATTTCAATGCTTCCTATGATGACCAAAGAAAGAAAAGGAATATGAAACAAAACATCAAATTACTTCTTATTAACACATCAGCCATTTCTCACCAAGGCAGGGTGACCCAAAAATACAAAAACACTTTCATCATCATTCACTTTATCACCATCTTGCCAGAGGCATACCAACACTACAGTTAAAAAAAAAAAAAAAGAAAACTGCAACATTAAACATTTTGCAAAACTATACCTTCTCCTTATCAAGGGTTAGAAGATTGATTTTTTCATTAAGAGTTGTAATTGTTGTTTCGTGACTGATGCGCTCCTCTCCCAGAGCCTCCAAGTCGTCGCGCAGTCTCTCAATCTCTGCTCGCAGTTCTGCTCTCTCAGTCCCCAAGGCTGCACGTTCTGTTTCCAGAGACGTGATCTTGGAGACTAGTTGTGACTTATCTTGACCTAAGTTAATACTGTATGACTCAACCTGAAGATACAGGAGAAACAAAATAGCTTTAGTACTTACAAGATAATTTCTATATTGATATTTTCTTTGCTGGAACTTAAAATTCACAGGTGATGTGTATATAGCTATAATGATTTAGAAAATGACAACTCAGAACTGATATATCTACACCACTTTAGAAAATACTAGCTACAATGATTTAGAATATAACTTAGAATCTATATGTCTACAGCACTTCAGAAAATAGCTTAATTTAAGATTGGAATATCTGCACCACTTTAGAAAATGACATACTACAATAATTTAACACCTAAATATTTACAAGACTTTAGAAAATCCCATAATCTAAGACCTAAATATCTAACCTTGCTTTAAAAAATTACATAATAAGTATTTGAAACCAAAACTTCATGAGGCACAATTCTTTACTGCTATTCTACATTATTATTGAGAATATGGACTGGAAAATACATTAATGCAGTAGAAGTAATTTACAGTATAGATTATGTTAAGAAATTACCACTGTGGCAATAAAGAAGACATTATTGTAACAGTGTGCAATACGGTTAACAGAACTGGAATTCTCGTAACTGTGTATAACATAGTAATAAAGTAGGAATTATCGTACAAAAAGTAGGAAGGACAGAAATAAATTTTTTACTGTGGTAAAGTACAGAAAACCCTCAATGTAATGGACTTTGAAAACATGGGACAATCAATTCAGAAACAATAGACAAAGTTCAGCAACTACAGAATTATCTGTCATTGCTACTATCACAGCAAAGCAATCTTATCTCTATCAACCACAATTGCCATCACCAGCCACCTGCTCCCCTGTACATTAATTTTTAAAATGGTATACACTGTGGGAGTAATGAGCATTGTAAACTCTACGGTAATGAATTGCACATTTGGTAATAACGTAAAAAATGCTTCTAGATAATAATATTCAAATGAAGGCATTTAGACAAAGAAATAATTATAGGTGAAGGAAAATTCTGCAAAAAACAACTAAACTAAACAACTGTAGAAAAACAATATTATATGATTTAAAGTAAAAAAAGCTAAAACTAAGATGTTGGTCCAAATGCTTTGTTTGCTAGCCAAATTCATTGTTTTAAATGTTTATTAAGGAAGCTATTCATGATGCTAAAATCATGCTATAGTATATCTTACCATTATCAATATTAGTATCTTCACACTATGGAAATATGTACAGGATAGCTCCACTTTACAGTGCTTTGTTTTACAGCATTTTGCTAGTGCACTGGTTGTCAGTTATACCTATTCATCATCTATTCAGATTTCCTACAATAAATATATTCACCCCTCAATATAAGCTAAGGACAAAAATATTTTAAGGTAAATAATGTGTGTACTGTATATGCATTTTTTAGGCTCACTTAATATATAATAGTGTAAACATGTTATCAGGATTTTAAATGCGTTTGAAAGTGAAAAGAAGGCTGTTTCAGTAGACTGGAACCTAACCTGCTGTATAAGTGGGGCCCTTCTTTTTTACCAGTACCTATTACTCAGTTACTGACTACAGGAGAAAACCTCTGAGTAGATAAAGGTTGATGTAGTCATCTATTTTAATAAGAAGGGGGGGGGTGATTATTTACTGGATGACAACTTAAATTTATTAAGTGAACAAAGTAGTGGAGGCTAACACCACACAGCATGGTAGAGCTAGGCCGTATCAGCTTATGTAAACTCAGCTAAGTAAATATGCACACCCACAGTGAGTATGTGACCAAGTAGGGTAGTGAATAGGCAAGTAAGTTGGTGTATACATAGATTGGTGTATTTCATCACTGCCAACTTGCAGTCTACCATACTGTAAGCAATCACTCCTCTCAAACAAACTTTACTCATATACATACATACATTACTTACCTTAAAATATTTCTGTCCTTAGCTTATAGTGGGTGGTGAATATATTTATAGGAAGTTTGAATAAATGAATAAATGAAGAATGGATATAATTGAAAACCATTGCATTAGCAAAATGCTGAAAAGCAGGGCCCACCTATACACAAATAACCTGCATGTGGGAGAAAGTAGTTAATGGTCCAAGTTGGACCGTAACATCGTTATAAGTTTCTTTCTCCTATGTGTGGCTTATTTGTGTATTGTTCCAATCATAGTATTCTGCCTTTTTGTTCTTTACTCATATTTTCCTTACTTTCTCTGCAGCCATCATATACACACAACAAAAACTGATGCTAACACAAGTGGTAAGATAAGCTAGAAAATTTTATTTCTGTATCACATTTTAGTCAGCTGGCATCTTTTTAAATACAAAAACTGAATAGGATACTTAAACAATTCTTTATTACAGATTGCATGTGTGTATATCTGCATCATTCATGTATTCATTTATATTGGTATGAATACAAACTGTATGCAACTCCGGAGTATGGGAGAGAGAGAACTGTATTATTTGGTGATGTTAGGATCAATGCCCAATTGGGTGTTAAAAATTTTACTCGAGTTGCAATGGAAACTGAGTAACATTAGACCCTGAACTGATGGGTGGTATGCAAAAATTTAGTAAAAATGACCCAGGTTCTAGATTTGTTTTGCCCCAAATAAGGAAGGTGGGGAGAAGTAAAGTGCCTGCACTCTAAAGGAGGGGTGAGGATATTGTAGTATGGAGTGTCATCTGAACTGAGATGTTGGTGCCCTTCTGGCTAGAGAGTCAATGTGTTTTCTTCTTTGTCAGGTCACTCAACCTTGATGAGAGCAATGCAATGGAAAGGAATGAAATGGGAATCTCCGTCGTCTAGACAAATGTGTGTAAGGCAACAGTCCAGTCTTAAGTGCCTCTGTCTAGGCTACTACTGAGATTCCCTTCTGCTCCTTTCCACTGCATTGCACCAGAAGATGTATTTTGTGTTGTGCATTGTTAATCTCTTGATTGATTATAATTATATAATGTGTATAACAATTCTCGATGGGGAAGTGGAAGAGAATTCTTCCTTTGTAAGCCATGCATGTTGTAAAAGGCGACTAAATTACCGGGAGCAAAGGGCTAGTAACCCCTTCTCCTGTATACATTACTATAGTTAAAAAGAGAAACTTTTGTTTTTCTTTTTGGGTCACCCTGCCTTGGCGGGATACGGCCAGTTTGTTGAAAGAAGAAGTGTATAACAATGTGGAGTACAACTGTCTGGGCTACTAAGACATTTCTTCAGCCTTTAACCCTTTCACTGGCTGTCATGGGATCTATGCTATTGATGCTAGGGGTCCTTTATGTAAATTTGTGCATAAATCCTAGTTGCTTCATATGTTCTCTCACATGTAGACCTGGTAAGCTTACATGTGAGATAATGGGTCTGCACAGTGTGTGCAGTATACAAAAAAAATCGGGGCCCCCATTGTGCACTGTAGGAACACCATATTTAGTACACCTTGTTCACAATGCAATGCAGATGCAAAGGCCTCAATGACAGCTTCAACAGAGAATTATAGAACCAACGAGAATTTCTTTGGTTTCAAACATATAATGACCGAAAGTGACTACTCAGGATGCCAGAAGTATTACTGTGAGATGATTACCGAACCGAATATTCCCATATCTGAAGTTTGGTGATCACTTCCTGCTACAGAAAAGAAGAAATGGGCTGGGAAATGATGTTATGTCTGTGCATACACAAGGCGCTCATCACAGTGCAGGGACATGCTCTTTATGTGAAGTGTGTGTATAACACTGCTGTGTATGGAGCTGTGTTTCAAGGGCTTCCATAGAGTAACAGTTTAAGGAACACGACCAGTGCCTGCCTACATATACGTACATAAATGTTAGAGCAGTAGCAATCTGAAACATTTGTACCTGTGTCCTTACATTACAGTGGTACCCCGAGTTTCGGCCATAAGTCATTTCAGAAGGCTGTTCGAGTGCCGTTACTTAACAAATTTGTTCACATAAGGAATAATGTAAATTAGATTAGTCCATTTCAGACCCCCAAAAATACACTTAAAAAAGCACTTACAATAATACACTTACATAATTGTTCAAGTTGAGAGCTGTACGAAACTTGGGGTACCACTGTACAGTGGTCCCTCGTTTTTCGTAGTTCTCGGGAATCATAGATTTCGGAAATCATAGGGATATTTTCGTATAAATATGGGCTCGCTAATCATAGGTTGACTCGCGAATAGTAGTTCATCCGGGATGCGTACGCACAGTGTGAGCCAGGGCGGCCTCCCTACCCAGCCAGTCTGGCATTGTTTACCAGCGAGCGAAGGTCCCCTCACGTGCTCCTACGAAATATTTCATAATATTCCACTCATTTTAGTGCTTGCAAGTACTAAATAAGCTACCATGGCTCCAAAGAAAGCTCCCAGTGCCAAGCCTGTGGTAAAGGTGAGAAATACCAATGATTTTAAGAAAAACATCATTGAACAATATGAAAGTGGCACAAGTGCGGCCGAACTGGCCAGGATGTATAAGAAACCCTACACAACCATATGTTCCATAGTGGCCAAGAAAAAGGAAATCAAGGGTGCTGTTGTTGCAAAGGGGGTAACTATGCTGACAAAAATGAGATCACCAGTACTCGAAGATGCTGAGAAGTTGTTATTGGTGTGGATAAACGAGAAACAATTAGCAGGAGATACTCTTATGACTTCGATTATTTGTGAAAAGGCTAGGCAGTTGCACAACGATCTGGTAAAGAAATTGCCTGCAAATAGTGGTGATGTGAGTGAATTTAAGGCCAGTTTGAGAGATTTAAGAACCATACTGGCATACACAGTGCGGTAAGGCATGGTGAGGCTGCCAGTTCGGACCACAAGGCAGCTGAAAAATGTGCATGAATTCAAGGAGTACATAGAGGCTGAAGGACTGAAATCTGAACAAGTGTTCAATTGTGACAAAACAGGCCTCTTTTGGAAGAAAATGCCAAAGAGGACCTTCATTACACAGGAGGAAAAGGCAATGCCAGGACACAAGCCTATGAAAGACAGGCTGACGCTCATGTTCTGTGCTAATGCTAGTGGGGATTTCAAAGTGAAGCCATTACTAGTGTACCATTCTGAAAATCCCAGAGTGTTCAGGAAAAACAATGTTATGAAGAGAAAATTGTGTGTGTTTTGGAAATCTAATAGTAAGGCATGGGTCACGAGGGAAATTTTCGTCGAGTGGTTCAATGAAGTGTTTGGCCCTAGTGTGAAGAATTACCTCCTGGAAAAGAAATTGGATCTCAAGTGCCTGCTAGTAATGGACAATGCACCTGCTCATCCTCCAAACTTGGATGACCTAATTTTCGAGGAGTTTGGGTTCATCACAGTTCTTGCCCCCGAATACCACTCCTCTCCTCCAGCCCATGGACCAGCAGGTCATTGCAAACTTTAAAAAACTCTACACCAAAGCAATGTTTCACAGGTGCTTGACTGTGACCACAGACACTCACTTGACCCTAAGGGAATTTTGGAGAGAACACTTCAGCATCCTCCATTGCATAACCCTTATAGGTATGGCTTGGGAGGGAGTGACTACCAGGACTTTGAACTCTGCTTGGAGAAAATTGTGGCCAGATTGTGTCAACAAGAGGGATTTTGAAGGGTTTGGGACTGACCCTGATGAGCCTATGTCTGTTGTAAAATCAATTGTGGCACTGGGGAGTTCCATGGGGTTGGATGTGAGTTTGGAGGATGTGGAAGAGTTGGTGGAAGACCACAACGAAGAGCTCACCACTGAGGAGCTGCAAGAACTTCAGAAGGAACAGCAACAGATCGCAGCTCAGAATCTTGCTGCAGAGGAGGAGGAAGAGAGATGGAAGAAGGTGCCTTCTTCGGAAATTAAAGAGATTTTTGCTATGTGGGGTAAGATGGAAAGCTTTATGGGGAAACATCACCCTGACAAGGTTGTTGCAAGCCATGTTGGCAACATGTACAGTGACAAAGTCTTGGGCCATTTTAGGGAAATGTTAAAGAGACGCCAGAAACAGAGCTGTCTCCACAGTTATTTTGCGAGACAGGACTCCAGTGACTCTCAAGGTGGTCCTAGTGGCATTAAGAAACAGAGAAGAGAAGCAACCCCAGAAAAGCAATTGGTACCTGAGGTGTTGCTGGAAGGAGATTCCCCTTCCAAACTGTAAACAATCCAATCTCTCTCCTCCTCCAGTCTCCCATACACTAAGAAGAATCTCCAATAAAGGTAAGTGTTATGCTGTTAATGTTTCATTCATCATTTCCCATTGTATTGTTTATGTACTACATCTATATTTCATGTAAAAAATTTTTTTGTTTTAATACTTCTGGTGTCAGGAACGGATTAATTGTATTTACATTATTTCTTATGGGGAAAATTGATTCAAAAATCGTACATTTCGATTATAGTAGCAACTCCAGGAATGGATTAACTACGAAAAACGAGGGACCACTGTACTAGGTAAACGAGGGACCACTGTACTAGGTAAACATGGTTTTTTAACATTGTACTGATAACACTATTAGTGTGGGTTTTGTGTTGTATACAATGGGTGAATATATGCTCACTGTGTATGATATGGATCTCATGGGCCACAAAAGATAATGAAAACGTAAAACATTAGAAACCCTCAGAAAAAGTACAAAATAATAAAACGAACACGTGAAGCGTGTGGCAATCGTTGATGCTGCCGTCAGTGGGTCACTGACCTTCAATTTCATGCCTTTATATCTCAGCAAATACTGATGGATTTTTTTAATTACCACCTGAAAAATGTACTCTTTAAATAAGATTTGTTTTTTAATTATGTACACACAGCAATTTTGTTCTTTTTAACACACTGGGTATCTCCTACTGAGGCTGAGTGACCCAAAAAATAAACACTTTCACCATCATTCACACCATAACTGTCTTGCCAGAGATAAGCAGACATCTAAGCTGTCATATCTGTGTGTCTCTGGCAAGAGTGATAGTGTGAATGATGGTGAAAGTGTTTCTTTTCTGGGTCACCAGCTTTGGTGGGAGACAGCCAGCATGTTAAAAAAAATTACAAAGCATCTATAAAATGAAAAGTAATAGATAAACTTTCTTGTATCAGCCTACAGTGATACAAAAATAAATTGTATAAAAATTCACTAAAGCCATCACAATATGGGTAATCAAACTGTCTTTGTTTAATTCTGTATGAATGAAACACATGCAGAAAAGTTTAGTTTAATGTATGTAAATATCACTCCATTTGCAAAATATTTATACTTGAAAATATTCATATTTTTTAAACTAAACTAGTAAAAAAATTGATTATATATTAATAGTTAAAGAGGATTACCAAGTGCATGACCATGATTAATCATAAACAACATAAACTGGTGTGTGTATGGTTTAAATCTACATATACATTTCAGTGACCATGCATAAAACTTAGCAAAATTTTGCCAACAAAAACTTTTTTTTGAAGTTTGCATTCCAATGTGAACAATAAATTAAATATTTATCAAACACAAATGAGCGAGTTTAATGTCAGAGTTTCATATACTTATCTCTTCGTAAATCTAAACAAATGAGAAGATAAACATTAATGAAAAAGATTAATGACGGTTTCATCACATAAATTTTCACGTTATATGCATGGTTCTGCAGAACTTACTCTGTACAACAAAACTCAACGAGGAAAGAGAATTCTGACTTACCTTCTCGAGGGCCTCCCTCAGGTCAGTCTCCTGACGGAGGGAGTGAGCCAGTTTAGCTTCCAGCTCTGTCCGTTGCCGTTCCATTGCTCGAATTTGGTCCCGTAGCTCATCTTTTTCTTGGTCCAACCTTTCCTCTGCTGCCCGAACCTTTCCCAGTGATTCAGACAAAACAGTAACCTGAAAACAGATAAGACAAATGAGAGAAAGGAGAAGTTAACATAATATGTTGACTTTCAGAATTATTTGTTACCTACAACCACCTACAATATTAAATTGTATTAATACAGCATTAGCCTTCATATTTTGGATAACACATCATCAAAAATGTGTTCAATTAGGAGAGAAATATACTCCTCACAGGAGTATCACAGTGTATATCTTATTTGAGAATTCTAAAAATATTTCCTAATATTTTTTTTCTTAACATAGACAAACAACAATGTGCTTAAAACATAACTCTTCCTTACAGCTTTTCACAAACCACAACATAGAAAAATCATTAACAAAATCTATATACTGCAAATAATATGAAGACAAATAGCTTAGAAATATAAATAAATCCTCCCTCAGCATGAAATACACTTTTTTTTTTTTTAAATCCCATCTGCTGAATTGTTAAACTGAAAGTAAGGTGGTACATGAAGAAAACGTCAGCTCTTCAACCATGCCACCCACAAATTATGGATTTTGGAAATTTAAATCTCTCAAAATTAAGCTGCTAAAAGCAAATTGTTTTGAAGTGGTAAGCGTATTTATTCAATATAAATATTCCTTGTACATAGCCTTAGAAGACCAAAATAGTAAAAAAAATATCTGAAAATTTCAAAATAATCATGTATTTCTTGCAGAGAGAATTGCCATCCAATTTCATGACACATCTACGAGGGCAGCAATAAATTTCACACTAATACAAAATGATCAGAATCATATGTACGTATATACAGTACACACATAAAAATCACCGGTAGCTTTAAAGCATAAAAAATTTATTATTAAAAAAAGTATGGCAAAACATGTATAATACTATACAAAACAACACCAGTCTAAAAAAAATCCCAAAATCCTGTTGCTCACACTGGAAAATTTACAAAATACTGTACAACAGTAATGAAATGGAATCAAATTCTCAGAGTACCATTCAAAGTTACATACCAAAGCACTGAAACTATGATAGTTACATGTTTTTGAAGCAGCTTCAGTGGATATCTGATGGTGCAATATTTAATAAAAGGATTATACCAAAAACCCATGTAGATTTTCATGGAATGTCATTTGCTGCTAAAAAATGGAACCCCAAATGAGATACATGGTTTCAAATCAGGGATGGTTCCAGATGTTTTATATAGACAGGCTGATTGGTCAGTGGTGGAGTGAGGGGCTACACTGAAAGGGAGGAGGATAATGGCTTTTGTAAATGATCATTTGGTACATATATGATAAGCTCATTTTTTTGGGGGTAAACAATAGTCAAGAAATATGGCATTTGCTAAGTATTCAAACAAATCCCTAGGTTTTACATGTAACAGGTATACTTTACACCCCGTAAGTCAGGAATGCATCTATTTCCTTATAAAGGGGTGGACCTGTATTTATCTCTCTGCTCTTCTTCCATTCATCATACTTCCCTCTTTCTAAAACTTTTTTTAAAGGATAATGTGCTCAACCTTCTGCCTAAACCCATATTACTAAGCAAAGATCATAACAATGGGTTAGTGGTTGATTTACTTTGCCATAACACTGCATGTGTGTTTGGTTTAGTTCACCATGCAAGTATATCTGCTGAAATATAAAAATAATCAAATTTCTTCCACTTTAATTTAACTTCACTGTGTTAACCAGAGGAAGTGCTAAACTTGGTCACATAATACCTGGGAAATGGGAGGTAATCAGGTTTGATACCCACGAAGAGAGGCAAGGAGAAAACTTTCAACAGGGAGGAAGAGTGAGGGGGCTATGATATCCCCTTCACTCCCACACTTCCACCAAATGGTCTTTAATGTTTAAATCCCAAGGGAAAATTCTCACAAGAGGTGCTCAAATTATCTTTTATACTTAAAATCATTTGGTTTATTAGCATTCTGATAATGCATAAAATATTTCTGAGTTTTACACATGGCATTAAACTAATCTTATATTTATACTCAGTACAAATGTGTACTGATCCACAGGCACTCCTATTTTGCTCACATTAAATAGAGGCACTAAATTTGATTCCATTAAAAAATGTTTTATCTTTCACAATGCTGTGATTTGATCTGCATGTTACATTTGGAAGACACACTAAAGTGCAATGCACACAGACAAAATAAAATTAAAATGCTGAATTTCAGGTAAGCAAATAAAAATAAAAAAATAATTTTAACATGAATATCCCTTAGAAAATAATCAGGCAAGAAATATCCAAACAAAAGCACCAATAAACATTTGCAAATCTATCAAAAATGTGTTTAATTAAAGAGGGAAATTAGTCTTCCAACATATAAATGGACATCCCACTGGTGCAATATTTTAATTTAAACTGATCTTTAGTATGTTAAGAGGTATGACCCCTCTCTCTTTAGGTTGGGTAAGGTTTGTCAAGAACCAGGACAAGTGTGTCTTAACGTGGGTCTTAGTCATATGATGTCCTTCAGGTGGAGCTTTTGGTTATCTGACTGAAGCCTTCTGCTGGCTTACCAATCCACCCCTTGAAATTTTATAGTCATGTTTATAACCATTAGATTCATTTACTTTAATGGTAATCTTTTTATTAATGTAAATTTCTTATAGCTCTTTAATATGAAACCAGTTTCAGGAAACTATTATTTCTTTATGAATAAAAGTTACAATACACAAGTAACTCACAAACTGGAGGAGAAACCAGAAGACGTTTTGATCCATCCTCAACTTGATAACACTAGCCAACAAAATTTAACCTTTCATCCAGTTCAAAAACCAAACTGATTGGTTTAAGCTAATTTTGATGTGCTGATGACAAAGCTGAGTTTCTTCAGTCTCAATCACATGAGCTTTTTATGAAATCTTAGGATCAATATTTTAGATATTTAACCCTTAAACTGTTCAAACGTAGATCTACGTTCACTTGGGGGCGGAGGGGGGGGGGGCTCTGAACATAGATCTACGTTTTTTGCATGCTTTCAAATGGGGAAAATAAAGGTTGGAGCGCTACTCATGTGAACGTAGATCTACGTTTGGACAGTTTAAGGGTTAGGGTCAAAGAACCATATGATATATGTAACCTAACAATTTTTTTTTTTAACATGTTGGTCATTTCCCACCGAGGCAGGGTGACCGACAAAGAAAGAAAAAACTTTCATCAACATCATTCAACATTTTCACCATTACTCATACATAATCACTGTCTTTGCAAAGGTGCTCAAATATGACAGCTTAGACGTCCCTCCAAACAGCCAATATCCCAAACCCTTCCTTTGAAGTGCAGGCATTGTACTTCCCATTTCCAGGACTCGGGTCCGGCTAACAATTAAAGGCATTATATTACGCACAGATGTTAAGTGTGGTGCATGTAATGACAAAACTAATCTTTCTTAAAATAAATTTATGTATTATATATATGAATAAAAATAATAGAAATTTCTAAACAGTTAAACATATTTTTATCACATTTTTCAGACTTTTTCACTTGTGTTGAGCATCACTCTCCTGCAACAGTGTCCAGCAGTAATCCACCATCCAGCTGATCATCAGGATTCCCTATATCTTCTAAATGATGGCTATGTCTTGGTGAAATTATTCACCATAGGGTTCTATTTCACAGAAACTGTGTGTTAAGAGCCTAAGTTCAAATTTGAATTCAGAATACCAAAATTATTTAGAAACCATTGTTGTCTAGTGTGATGGCTCAGAACAGACTGAAACGTCACCTAACTTTCTCTTTGTTTTGGGAGTCAAGAAATGGAGGATATAGAAGAAACATTTTACACACAAATTTTCCACAAACACATGCATAAGGATATCCATTTACTGTTGGTTAACCAACACTCCACTAAATATGCACAGACACAAAATTAAACTATTCTGTGAGATCTAATTCTGTATGCATGATGGGCACTTGGGTAATTTCATGAGTCAACTTGTAATTTCATGAATAAATTTGTTAAATTATTTCTGTATGTAAATCTCAGATTTGATTGAATTTATGTTAATGTAACTACAATGCTGTATTTTTACAAAAAGTTTTTATTTAAGAAAATTTAATCTTTAGTGTTCTTAAGCCAGGTTTTATAAGCAGGTACAGTTTAATGGGGAGAATCATTAAATTTTTTGTATCTATTACTAAACTGCCTATCTCTCCTACTCTACGCAGTAATGTGTTTTATTATAATCCATTACAAATCATGATCTCTGCATGTTGTACTTTCCATTTAGTTTGAGTACATCATTTGATTCGAGTGTGCTTCTTGCATACAGTCCTTAGTCCCCAAGGTCTAGAATTCTTGCCAGAAATTTCAAATGTAATCTCATCAATCACTTCCATTCTTACTGACTTTCTAGGCAAAACGTGTGATTATAGAAATGCTTTACCTTATGGCTTTCCTTTGTCCAAGTTTAGAAGGAATAGTTAAAGATGTGTAATGAAGTGACATTACTTAAGAGAAATTGCATTCAAGATTGAAGTAGAGCAATTATTGAGCGAGAGGCAGAATAAATACGATACTGTGGCTTCTAAATACGTGTCATATACAGAAACATACATTTTTTACCAAGATGTGCAGTGGTAGCCTTTTGAAGGTGGGAGCTACATGATAGATAAGATAGAGAATATTTATAAAAATCTTATTATCAGCACAGAATTCATAGAGCAATGGGATAAATGCAAAGACATTTCAAGTATATGCTCGGTAATTATACACTGAGCATTACTCTTGTCCAAGATATACTAGCATATTTCTACACCAATGCTCGAGAAAGCAAAAACACATGTGCTTATACTGAGTAACATAGCTTGAGGAAAAGTTACTTTCACTTGTGAATTTCATCCCAGGAAAAGTCAAATTTTAATTTGTATTGTACAAAATATGTAATACACAGCTTAATTAGAATACACAAGTCAGTTCAGTACATCTGCATACTCAGTATTTCCCATTTCAGGGTTTGTGACTTTTCAAATCTGGTGAAACTGACTCGTATTTATCAGTGACAATTGGCATAGATGAAAATTATTTAACATTTTCACTAATACCGTTTTTAGCATCGAAACTCTTCAACTGTGTTAAAGTTCAACAATAATGAATGGAGTTCATTACTTCTAAATCATTAAATAGTCATTTTTGAAAGGGAATGACTTAGATGATGCTTAATGTTGTAGAGTATCAACATTACACAAATTAAGAGGCTTGTATATATTATTTGAGAAAATTATAATGGTACAGCTCACTGTTATAAAATACTGATTTTTTACATTTAGTTCATTATCAGTTCATTTTTTTTGTGGTGTGGTATCAAATATTATAAGATAAAATACTGTAGCTACATATAATAAATCAAGGAGAACAAATAACAATATTATAATTTTTAAATAGCCATTTATATAATTTAAATTGTTGTTAGCCGTATAAAAATTTGTAGAAATGAAGGTTAAGTACAAAAAAAAGGGATCACTTGCCTACCGGACAAAATCTTAAAAAAAAAAAAAAAAAAAAAAAAAAAAAACTGTTAGATATTTATCTATGCCATATATATTTTTTAAGTCAGAGTGATTATATACAACTTTTTTTGGTGTATCTTTCAGCTAGTGAGCATGACACCATCAAGTGATGCTGATACAACAACTGACATTGAACATATTTACTATACTGTAATTAGCAAAGAAATTTGGCTAGTATATAATTGGAGGCATTTACCACATGCTGGCATGAAAAAGTACTGTAAGTGTACAAAAAGAACAAGAGATGCTTTATTAGGTATATAAAAGTTGAAAAGTGCTAACAAAGTGGAAAATTTTGGGCAAGACAAAACAAGGCAATAAGGGATATAGAAATGAAAAATAATACTGTCTGGTGCATATGAAGTATAAGAATTCAGAATGAAGACCAATGTTAATAAGGGGAGAGAGAAGAATTATCAACAGTATGTGATCATGTTTTCCCATGGCAGTGTTTCCATGGATTACTGAGGACAACTCATCTACTACCTAGAAAGAGTGAAGATATACAAATTCATAATGTTAATGAAAGCTTACTGTGTAAAAGCTATATAATAATGAATGGAATTTATTCCTTCTAAATTATTAGTCATTTATTGATAAGTGAATGATTGTATGGCAAATAAGATGAGTGTTGCTAGCAAATTAAAAGTTAATGTGCACTTTTGAGTCTACTGTGAAGTGGATATGCAACACATCATTCAAATTTATTCATACTAATCATTATGAAAATGATAGATGACATCTTTTGCTTTTTACTGGCAGATAACCATGATTTCCAATGAAAATGGAAATTTTGTAATTAAAATTCAAAAGTAACAATTATTTCACATATTAGATTAAATCCTTAATGACTGTTACTCAAATGTTTACTGTAATATTTATGAAAATGCATGTTAATGTTGTGCTTTTAAACAGTGCACAATCTTGGCTAATAAAGCAACAATAATTTTACACATAAGCAAAGTCAAAATCCATCATTGCAAGAACTGCAAAAATCATTCTGAACATAATTACGTAATCTATACTTCATTAATAATGAAGAATAACAAACAAAATTAGGCTGACCTATGCTTGGATAGGATTACGTTAAACTATGGTATGCTAATCTTAGCAAAATTAGGTAAGGTTGCTAAGTTAGTTTTGGTTAAATTAAGTTTGAATATCGTGTAAATTGACAACAAATTATATCTATCAATGCACAAGATATTTTTCAGTAAGCTCTAATTTTAAAGCAGTTTGGATCATTTGACTGGCTCTGCTAAAAAAGAACAACAGATGCACAGGTATAAAATTTGAGTAACTGCATTAAATTGAACATGAACACATTCCTGACGATACAAACCATGGTATGGGTGGGGTTTGAACCCATGGCAAGCGAGTCCTAAAGCTCCAAGTCACTGTGTAAGCCACTCAGCCAGCTGGCATACAAGTGGCTTACACACTGGCCTGGAGTTTTACGACTCACTTGCCACGAGTTCAAGCCCACCCATTCTGTGGTTTGTTTGCAATCGCGTTATTACGATTTTCTGAGCCATAATAATACCAATTAGCTGCACTGATGATTTCCTACTAATTTGGAAGTAACATGCAATATTAAATTACCTGTACAAATAATTTCTACACAAATATTTCTTTAAACTATGCTGATTGGTATCAAGAGAAATATCTAAGCTAAAACAGTACCTGCTGCTGGACGCTAGAAAGCTCAGAATTGAGAACAGTTATGGTGTGCATGTGCTTTTGTGCTTCTTCCTTCTCCTTGGTAAGCTTGGAGTTGAGGTATGCTCTCTCTTCACCAAGTGCTGCCTTCTCTTTCTCCAGTTCTGACAACTGACGGTTACGGCGTTCTGTTTCTTCCTTGGCAGTCTCCAACTGGTATGTTTTAAATAGTTATTAGCCTATACGAGTACAAATAGAAAAGCATCTATCTCTCACTCATCAGAGGGAGGACTGAGCCTCCACCACTCCTTGTGCATCACATGAGTTAAGCAACATGGAATATAATAATAATTTAAATAATCATTCTTATGGCTCACATTAGATTTTAATAAGTATTCAAATACTTATGTTCCTCAACTTACGATGGTTCAACTTTGATATTTCGACTTTATGATGGTAGAAGAGCAATTACTTTGGCGATGAAGGTGACATGTCCATAACTTGTACACCTTTTTTTTACTTTTAAATACTGGCATTTAATTAGTTACAGTAAGTATTTATTTACTTATTCAGTGACAGTTATTTATTTACTTATTTATTTAGCATATCATTTATTTTCGCCTTACAATGGGTTCATCGGAACATAACCCCATTGTAAGTTGAGGAACACTAGTATTCCAATTTTGCACTTCACAATGAAAATCTGCAATTATTTTCACCATTACACAGCGTAAAATATGCTAACCTGAGATTTTAAAGTTTGTTTGGCTTTCTCCAAACCACTCTTTTCTGCAACAATTGCATCTAAATCTTCAGTGAGCCTGTCCTTCTCCCTAGATACTTCATCTTTCTGCCGGGAAATTGACTCCATTTCATCGCGAAGTTCACCGATTGTGGCCTCCAGCCCGCGTTGAGCTGCTTCTGCACTTTCATACTGCTTACGAAGGGAAGCCAGCTGATCTTTTGATGATGTTAACTTGAGCTAAACACAAAATGAAAAACAAATTTGTTACTTGCTACTTCTGTATAACTGGCATTGTTAAAATTATAATAAAAATAAGCAAGAAATATGCAAGCAGATTAGGAATGAGCACAAGGAATAAGAATGAGGAAGATTACTAGGAATGAGAAATAATAATAGTAATGAGCAAGAGGACTAGGTATGAGCAAGCAGACTAGGAATGTGCAAAAGGACTAATAGGCAGAAGGACTAGGAATGAGCAAGGGGACAACAATTAACCCTTAAACTGTCCAAACGTAGATCTACGTTTTCACTGCCAGTGCTCCAAATATTTTGGAAAAAAAAAAAATTAGGATCAGTACTTACCGAGATATAAGACCGCAAAGTTGGCACTGGATGCTCACCTGACAGCAACATAGAGTCCTGCCACTTGCTGAAGTGTTGCCAATATACCTTTTTTCTCATTTTTTTTTAATTTATATAATTTTTTTGTTCTGATAATTACAAATTGTCTAGGTAGTAGGTTGGTAGACAGCAACCGCCCAGGGAGGTACTACCGTCCTGCCAAGTGAGTGTAAAACGGAAGCCTGTAATTGTTTTACACGATGGTAGGATTGCTGGTGTCTTTTTTTTCTGTCTCACACATGCAAGATTTCAGGTAAGTCTTGCTCCTTCTACTTACACTTAGGTCACACTACACATACATGTACAAGCATATATATATATACACACCTCTCTGGGTTTTCTTCTATTTTCTTTCTAGTTCTTGTTCTTGTTTATTTCCTCTTACCTCCATGGGGAAGTGGAACAGAATTCTTCCTCCGTAAGCCATGCGTGTTGTAAGAGGCGGCTAAAATGCCAGGAGCAAGGGGCTAGTAACCCCTTCTCCTGTACATACTGCTAAATGTAAAAGGAGAAACTTTTGTTTTTCCTTTTAGGCCACCCCGCCTCAGTGGGATACGGCCGGTGTGTCGAAAGAAGAATAATTATAAATTGTAGTAGTTCTTGTGATTTCATAGCCAATGTTTGTTCTGACACTAATATTAGGTACTAAAATAGTACTCAAATAGTCACAAACACACTAACAGGTGAACATTTTCACCTACCTAAGTCACCAACAATTGTCTAGAAATATATACGTACATAGTATTTATATGTCCAAGCAATGTTTTAGACATGCTGGAGTATATATGAAACTCCTTAAAACAGCACTATGTAAGACGAGTTCACTTTATTGCTGACAGTGCAGCAGTGAGTGACACTGACAGTGCACTGCCTTGGCTTTGTTTGTTTTTACTGTTACACATAAACATGTCTATCTGTTTGCCTGTCTGTTTATTTGTCTGACTAGCTCTGTCTCTGCTTATCTGTCTTTCTCTCGGCCTGTGTTTCTGTCCTCCTGTTTCTCTGTCTGCTTGTCTCTCTGTCTCAGAGCCACTCATGAACTAACAGGTGTTACACACGATGCAGAGTCACGTCAGATTCCTGAACAAGTGAAATGGTATTACTTGCCAGTCATGCTTATTATTGGGATACTGGCAGTTGGAGGGATATGTTGTACATGTATATCTTCATACGTATATGCTTCTAAACTGTTGTGCTCTGGGCACCTCTGCAAAAACAGTGATTATGTACGAGTGAGGTGATAGTGTTGAATGATGATGAAAGTATTTTCTTTTTGAGGATTTTTTCTTTTTTGGTCATCCTGCCTCGGTAGGAGACGGCCGACTTGTTTATATAAAAAAAAAAAAAAAAAAAAAATTACAAGCACAGTATAGCACTTTGTCTGGATTTTTTGGGTTATCCTAGGTAATTTACAATATGTATAATAACTATTTATGTACATCTGTGAGGTAGAGACAGAGATAAACAGAGACAGAGATACAGAGACAGGCAGAGATCAATACAGACAGACAGGCAGAGGTAGAGACGGCCAAAGTCAATCAGCTACCAGGCCAGTCAGCCACCCGGCCAGCCAACCACTTGGCCTGCTAAACATGTATTACACACATTCCAGAATCGTTTCTCTTTTCTTAGGGCATAGGACATTCTGGCAGGATGACACTACCAGTGGTATCAGAAATGAAAGGATGCTGCACAAATGTTGCATATGGGCTATTATCGAGATTTTTTATATTTCCTCAACCACTTGTGGTCACATCCATCTCGAAGCCACTAAACTCTGGGTCCCCATCACTTTCCTCTTAAAAGGGGAGTGTTAATACAACATGGCACGAGTGAATCCCTAATGTTTGCCATGCTATTTGTTCTAGCTGGTGCTCAATTGAACTGGTGCTCCCACAAGGTACTAAGTGGTCCCAGATTGTTTATAATACTGCGCACATCGAGTGTTAAGACCCATTCTGTGCTATCATACAGTGCTTGGGGAATAATGCTACACTAACACAAACCTGCAATTCGTGGATTTGAACATGGCGGTTAGATAGCGCTGTGCGAACTGCAGAGACAGTGCTCTGGGGTAAGTCAGGCGCTACTCCTTGCTCTGTGTCTCGAACAATTCTGCAGATACAGTCATCAGATAGTTACAATATTAAATGTGTTTTAGTATTTAGGGTTCTCATTATTGTCATGAATTACACCATATACAGAACTGACGATAAAGGAAGACAGAACCATTCTGATTGCATAAAAGTTAAACAATGTTAACTTTATGATCACCCTTCTCTAAACTTCTGCTGAGAAAAATAAAATCCTACCTCACCATTGTACTCTAATACACTTTATGAGCAGATATTATTCACACTGAACTGTCCCACAAAAATTAAATTACTAGCTGTAATCCTCATTCACATGCTTGTACATGTATTAAGAAGCTTGTAAGTACTAGTCATAGCATATTCAAAATGCCTGGCGCAACAAGGGGCTTTTCTTAGAATGTAGGAAAGATGTAATCCCAAAACTAAACACCTTATAACCCTTGGAAAAAATATGACTGACTTCTTCCTGTTATTTTAGAATCCAGCACCGAGTCCCTAGTAGTTCTGAAAAACCTTTATAAACAATTTTCAAAATTTTTTTTTTATTTTTACATTAAACTTTTACAAAAAATGTTTTATTGTTACAATAATTTTTATATAATATTCTGGTTAAATATTATTATATATTTGCAACAGAAAAATTAATTCATAACAATATTACCAACTCCTGCTTGTAATGTAATTGGTTGCAAAAACAAATCAAGTATGAAATTATTAGAAGACTATGTTAATACTCATTTTTTTTTTTAACTAAAATTCAACACTAACAAAAAAATTATTTTATACAGTAGATGGCAAGAGATGAAGTTCTATACCTAAAAGCAGAAGGAGCCTTGGCATCAGCATCACTGGTACTCTGTTCAGAGTCCTTGATAACCGTCTGCGCGATTTCAACCATGTATGATTCCAATGTGCGCACCTTCTCCTTCAGTGTCTCCTGAACCTCTGCTTCCGTCATACCTTCATCCTTGGAAAGCAAACAAAAATAGTGCATGGACACATTAAAATGTTGCATATTAATGGTATATATATCAACAAGATGAAGAATTAGACACATGTGCAACATCTGGGTATCTGTAATTTGTAGGCTGAAGGACTTGTTACCTCGTCTCTTGTGTATACTTCTACAGTCTTCACATTATGTTCTTGTACTATATTACTATATTGATAAAGCCACTGGATGGCAAAACATCTACAAATTGAAGATGCCCAGATGTTACATGCGTTTAATTATTCGTCTTGTTGGTACATACTGTGTACCACTCGTATACATTGGTACCTTGAATTTTGGCCTTAATTCGTTCTAGAAGGCTGTTCGAGTGCCATTACCAAACGAATCTGTTCCCATAAAGAATAATGTAAATTAGATTAGTCCGTTTCAGACTCCCAAAAATATACTTACAAAAGCACTTAAAAAAATACGCTTACATAATTGTTCGAGCTGGGAGCTGTTTGAAATTCAAGGTGCCACTGTATATCATTTTACATAGTTTTCACTGTGTTCACTGTATTGTAAAGTACTTTTGAAATTTGGCAATGAATACGGATGACTATTTGTTAGAACATTAATTTGGGTTATCCTGGGTGGCTAACCCTCTGGGTTAAAAATCCAAACAAATCTTATCTAAGTCTTATCCTAATGTGAAGTTAATGTACAGTACATGTATTACGTAGTTTATACGCACCAGCTTTCTGTTGAGATCTTGAATTGTGCGTTCCTTGCTTCTCAAGTTGGTGTTGAGCTCTGATATTCTTGAGTTGAGTTCACTGATCTTCTCTTTGAGTGAGTTTTTCTCTGCTTCTGCCCGCATTTGTGACCTCTCGCATTCTTGAATGCGACCCCATAGGTCAGAGGGGTTGCTGACGACATAATCGTCCTGTTTGGAGCAGAATAATAAAAGTTACACAGCACCTCATGTGCACATAAAATGTCTATACTGTGTAAGTATACTGGGAAAATAGCATTACAATTACAGTAACAATGATTATTATTCACAAATAGAAGTAAGAAGACAGTAATATCAGAATGGTTCTGAAAATCCTAAATGGTTATACATGAATCTTTTAAAACATCTGGATATGGAGCTGAGAAAATGAGTGTAATGTAGTATTTTTTATATGTGCATCAATATATGACAAATATCACACTCACATACAGTACAAAAATCGAAGTATATCTCCATAAACCTATCAGCATCAACATATGTAAAAGTTATCTTAAAGTTGATCAATATTACATAGGAATCTCTCATGATTGCATACAGCACATATAACTTTCTGGTGATAATTTATAATTATTCCAGGAGTTATAAATCAGATGTTCTTAGAGTTTGGTCACAATAAATAACTTCATGGGACCTGTCACTCATCTTCGTTATATAACCTCATTTTACATCGATGTAAAGGTGCTTAATCTATTTAAATCTTGTAGGATTTTAGTCATTTTTATCTTGCATACAAATTTAAAATATGCAAATATATTACAGGAATTTTTTTTTATTATTGGGAAATAATTTACACAACTGTATATATTTTTTTTTTTTATTATCACACTGGCCGATTCCCACCAAGGCAGGGTGGCCCGAAAAAGAAAAACTTTCACCATCATTCACTCCATCACTGTCTTGCCAGAAGGGTGCTTTACACTACAGTTTTTAAACTGCAACATTAACACCCCTCCTTCAGAGTGCAGGCACTGTACTTCCCATCTCCAGGACTCAAGTCCGGCCTGCCGGTTTCCCTGAATCCCTTCATAAATGTTACTTTGCTCACACTCCAACAGCACGTCAAGTATTAATTTTTCTTCTTCTCTTTTTTAGTAAATGTCTACAGGAGAAGGGGTTACTAGCCCATTGCTCCCGGCATTTTAGTCGCCTCATACGATACGCATGGCTTACGGAGGAAAGATTCTTTTCCACTTCCCCATGGACAATAGAAGAAATAAAGAAGAAGAAGAGCTATTTAGAAAAAGGAGAAAAACCTAGATGTATGTATATATATATGCATGTGCGTGTCTGTGAAGTGTGACCAAAGCGTAAGTTGGAGTAGCAAGATATCCCTGTTATCTAGCATGTTTATGAGACAGAAAAAGAAACCAGCAATCCTACCATCATGCAAAACAGTTACAGGTTTTTGTTTCACAGTCATCTGGCAGGACGGTAGTACTTCCCTGGGTGGTTGCTGTCTACCAACCTACTACTGTATACGTGACTCAAAATCATAATAACACAATTGCAAACAAATCACAGAATGGGTGGGGCTTGAAGCCATGGTAAATGAATCCTAAAATTCACAGGCCAGTGTGTTAACGACTCAACTAGCTGGCCAAGTGGTTAACACAGTGGCTTTGCCATGGGTTCAACCCCCACCCAATGCATCATCTGTGTACATGAATTAGAAAAATATCAGAGGCAGCAGCAACCCTTGTACCCACTATGTTGCACTTTGTAATTACGTATGTTTGTGGGGACTAAGCCTCAGCTGTAGGCCTCACCTCTCAACATCAAACTGGCCAGCATTACTAGTTTTTGGCCTTTTGGACCCTATCATACCTACTCTTGAAAGGTATGAAGTACAATTGCACCATTTCCTCATCCAGTTCATCCCTTCTGCTTATTACTCTGACACTTAATAATTACTTTCTGTTCCCAAGACTCATCGAAGTTTTTATCATCTGTTGTTGCCCTGATAGGAGTGAATGGAGACAAATGGTTTTTAATACTTGACGTGCTGTTGGAGTGTGAGCAAAGTAACATTTATGAAGGGATTCAGGGAAACCAGCAGCCCGGACTTGAGTCCTGGAGATGGGAAGTACAGTGCCTGCACTCTGAAGGAGGGGTGTTAATGTTGCAGTTTAAAAACTGTAGTGTAAAGCACCCTTCTGGCAAGACAATGATGGAGTGAATGATGGTGAAAGTTTTTCTTTTTCGGGCTACCCTGCCTTGGTGGGAATCGGCCAGTGTGTTAATAATAATAATAATAATAATAATTGTTGCCCTGTCATTCCTCTTCCACTTCCGTGACACAGTTTCTTTCTGCTCACTCTGTTATATCCTCTGAGTATCTGCATGTTACTGTTATGTCTCTCCTGGTCCTCTCTTACAAGACTAAAGTTTTTTATTAACACATCAGCCATTTCCCACCAAGAAAAAGAAAAACTTCATCATTCCCTCCATCACTGTCTTGCCACAGGCAAGCTTACACTACAGTTAACACCCCTCCTTCAGAGGGTAGAGAGGATGAATGAAATAGAATGACTTTGAGAGTGTATAAATCTGTAGTAGAGGGAAGGCGGGATAGGGGTCAGCCTAGGAAAGGTTGGAGGGAGGGTAGAGGAGGTTGTGTGTGTGAGGGGCTTGGACTTCCAGCAGGCATGTTTGAGCATGTTAGATAGGAGCAAATAGAGACAAATAATTTTTAGCACTTGATGTGCTGTTGGAGTGTGAGCAAGGTAACATTTATGAAGGGATTCAAGGAAACTGGCAGGCTGGACTTGAGTCCTGGAGATGGGAAGTACAGTGACTGTACTCTGAAGGAGGGGTGTTAACTGTTAAGTACAGTGCATTTAGACACTCACTGTAGTGTAAATCCATTTTTTACACCTCTGAATCTGTAAGCTAAGAGCTGTTAGCTAATTTCAAAGCCCAGCCCTATCTACAGTATATTATCACCCACTTAAAGTGAAGACAAATTTCAAACCAGTCCCTTGAACTGTGGGAAATACTATCCCGTGTTTAAAATCACACAAACATTTAGGTAACACAATATTCTTTGTTCTACAGTGTAATCATCCAGAATCTAATTTTTTGTTTGAATTTTACTCAAAGTAACTCACAATTATTATTATTATTATTGTACTGATGAGGAATCATTACACCTATCAGGGTTATACAGCACATTGGTAATGGAAGGCAATCAGATTTGATTTCAAGATGGGGAAGGTAGACCCAATTCCTCAGATCAAGAGCTCTTTACAAGCATCAAGGTAACCCTCCCCCCCACCCTTTCCCATCCTTGAAGAATACGTTTAAGATGAGCACTAGCACAAAATTTTGAGAAGTTGACAATACCTTATCTCCTCCTGATGGTATGAAACTCATGTTGGACTGAGCCGAGTGGCAGGCAGAGGTCAAGAGATGGGCACAGCGGTCAAGATCACCACGCAGCTGGGTCAGGTCACGGGAGGTCAGGGTTTTCACCTCGGAGAAGGTGCGCTTAACACATCCAATTTCACGCCACAAGTCCAATAAATTTTTGTGTCCTGATATGTAGTAGTTGTTGAATTGCTGTAACCACACAAGAACAAGAATTACAAACACTACAATATTATTATTTTATATAAACTCAATGCACCTACAGAAACAAGTGGTTTTAAAGCAAATAACATATTACAACCAGCCGGGGATCAAACCCAAGTTATTTAACTAGCCTCCTGGGAAGCTGGCTAAAATCAGATAGAGTATTCCTGTCTGCTAATGGTGTAAAACTAATGAGGAGAATAAAAACAGATGAGGACAAGGAAAGGCTTCAAAAGGCTCTGGACAAATTGCAAGTGTATTCACTGAACTCCTCCCCCAGTAAATACAAGGTCATGAAGCTTCGGGAAAGAGCAAGAAGACCAGAAACTGAAAGTTAAAGTCACAGGAATGTTAGGAAGTATTTCTTCAGTGTGTGCATGCATGCATGAATGCATGCACGAGGTGTGTACACACAAACACAAGCACAGCTGTGAATCGACCCCTGCAACCACAAGTAGGTGAGTACAACTAGGTCAGTACACACACACACACACACACACACACACACACACACACACACACACACACACACACACACACAATACGAAAATGACATAGCAGCGAAAGCCATATCTGACCCCGAAGCTGTTGTACAGCCACATCAGGAGGAAAACAATAGTCAAGAACCAGGTAATCAGGCTAAGGAAGGAAGGAGGAGAGATCACAAGAAACGACTGAGAAGTATGTGAGGAACTCAACATCAGGTTCAAAGAAGTATTCACAGTGGAGACAGAAGGGGCTCCAGAAAGAGAGAGGTGGGGTACACCACCAAGTGTTGGACACAATACATACAACTGAGGAAGAAGTGAAGACGCTGCTGAGTGAGCTAGACACCTCAAAGGTGATGGGGCCGGATAACATCTCTCCATGGGTCCTGAGAGAGGGTGCGGAGGTGCTATGTGTACCCCTAACAACAATATTCAACACATCTATTGAAACGGAGATTACCTGAGGTATGGAAGACACCAAATGTAGTCTCAATTTTTAAAAAAGGAGACAGACAAGAAGCACTAAACTACAGACCAGTGTCACTGACATGTATAGTATACAAAGTCATGGAGAAGATTATCAGAAGAGTGGTGGAGCACCTAGAAAGAAATGAGCTTATCAACAACAGCCAACATGGTTTCAGGGATGGGAAATCCTGTGTGGCAAACCTACTGGAGTTCTATGACAGGGTGGCAGCAGTAAGACAGAGGGGTGGGTAGACTGCATTTTCTTGGACTGTAAGAAGGCATTTGACAGTTCCACACAAGAGATTAGTGCAAAAGCTGGAGGACCAGGCAGGGATAACAGGGAAGGCACTACAATTGATCAGGGAATACCCGTCAGGAAGACAGCAGCGAGTCATGGTACGAGGCGAGGTGTCAGAGTGGGCGCCTGTCACGAGTAAGGTTCCACAGGGGTCAGTCCTAAAACCGGTGCTGTTTCTGGTATTTGTGAATGACATGATGGAAGGAATAAACTCCGAAGTGTCCCTGTTTGCAGATGACGTGAAGTTGATGAGAAGAATTCAATCAGACGAGGACCAAGCAGAACTACAAAGGGATCTGGATAAGCTGCAGGCCTGGTCCAACACTTGGCTCCTGGAGTTAAACCCCACCAAGTGCAAAGTCATGAACATTGGGGAAGGGCAGAGAAGACCGCAGACAGAGTACAGTCTAGGGGGCCAGAGACTACAAACCTCACTCAAGGAAAAAAGATCTTGGGGCGAGTATAACACCAAGCACGTCTCCAGAGGCACGCACCAACCAAATAACTGCTGCAGCATATGGGCGACTAACAAACCTAAGAACAGCATTCTGCCATCTTAATAAGGAATCGTTCAGGACCCTGTACACTGTGTACGTTAGGCCCATATTGGAGTATGCGACACCAGTTTGGAATCCATATCTAGCCAAGCACGTATAGAAACTAGAGAAAGTGCAAAGGTTTGCAACAAGACTAGTACCGGAGCTAAGGGGTCTGTCCTATGAGGAGAGGTTAAGGGAAATCGACCTGACGACACTGGAAGACAGGAGAGATAGGGGGGGATGTGATAACGACATATAAAATACTGAGAGTAATTGACAAGGTGGACAGAGACAGAATGTTCCAGAGATGAGACAGCAACAAGGGGTCACAGTTGGAAGTTAAGACACAGATGAATCACAGGGATGTTAGGAAGTATTTCTTCAGTCACAGAGTAGTTAGGAAGTGGAATAGTCTGGGAAGCGATGTAGTAGAGGCAGGATCCATTCATAGCTTTAAGCAGAGGTATGATAAAACTTGTGGTGCAGGGAAAGTGACTCAGTAGTGGCCAGTGAAGCGGGGGGTCAGAAGCTGTGACTCGACCCCTGCAACCACAACTGGGTGAGTACACACACACACCTGCTAAGTAACCAAACAAACACAAGACTCAAGGTATAACACTACACATGCCATCATTTATCAAAGTAGGAAACTGACTATATTATCTAAAATCTAAATAGACCAGTGCTTTAAAAATGATTAAAATGTCCATAACTCTGCAATATTGTCATACAACGTATGACACCTCCTGCTTGATACATATCTGTTTTTGTCTTCATGTCATTGGTCTATCTTGGCTTTGTTATGAATATGTTCAGGCTATCAGGCTGTCATGATTGATTTTATACATGTCTTGTGTACCAATTAATTTTCAATCAAATATGATTTCCTAATATGTTATTTTTAAATGCCCTGGCTGAAGAATTTGGCAGAATTGTCTTTCTTTATCATGGAATTATTTACTTGTTTTGTAACTATAGTCACGGAAGATACAATTTACACAGGTGCACACTGGTCACACAGTACCACACAACAGAGGTGTACACTGTATAGTCACACAGTACCACACAACAGAAGTGTACACTGTATAGTCACACAGTACCACACAACAGAGGTGTACATTGTATAGTCACACAGTACCACACAACAGAGGTGTACATAGACTGCATAGTCACAGTACCACACAACAGAGGTGTACACTGTATAGTCACACAGTACCACACAACAAAGGTGTACATAGACTGCATAGTCACAGTGCCACACAAGAGAGGTGTACAATGACTGTATATTCACCCAGTAAAAAGGTCTATATTATACACTATAGTCACAGGTACCAAACTACAGATATGCAGAAGCCAACATTGTTAAGACACTTATTCCAAATGATGAGCGTAAAATCCAGTTGTAGAGGTAGACTCAATATGGATCATAACTTTCAGAAGCCTCAACAAGGAAACATTCATGACCCTATACATGACACGTGTCACACCTAATCTTGAAGTATGGAGAGCCAGTATAGAACCTGCATCTGATAAAGCAATTAAACTGGAAAAAGTGCAAAAGCTTGATGCGAGACTAGTCCCAGACACTAGAGTAAGAGGAGAGGCTAGAGGAGCTAAACTACGACAATAGAAGACAGAAGGACCAGATTACAAAGTGTAAAATACTGAGAGGAACTGTCAACAAGCCAGTTTGAGAGGTAGGTCTCAGGTACACAGACGAGTCATAGGGATGTCAGGAAATACTGCTTTAGCCTTAGAGCCAGGATGTGGAATGACCTAGACAATGAAGTGGTAGAGGCAGAATCCATACATAGCTTTAAGAACAGATATGATAGGGTTCCCGAAATCAGGAGAAAATGAGCATAGTAGCGGCCAACGAAGAGGCGGAGTCAGGAACAGCTTCGACTCCTACAACCACAAATAAGTGAATACATCTGGGATAATACATCTATGAAAATAAAAAAAAGGCACAATACCTTGACTGGAACAATACACAAATGATCCACACACAGGAGAGGGGAACTTACGACACGTTTCAGTCCTACTTGAACCATTAACGAAGTCTCAGTAGGACCTCTGCTTGGATTTTATCTAATATTGTATGAACTTTTTTATTTGTGTGAACTTTGTTTTGTATCATTATCAGCAACAACCTTACCACAGACAGTGCCAACATTAGTGGCGCTAAGTTACCCACATGGGTTTAATGCTCCATCAAATACTGTATACCCCTCCTAGATAAAAAACCTCAAGAATTATAAAACAAACTATATTCTATTTTCAGAGGCATTTTTTCCGAAATTACTATAAAACATAGTTCAGTTTTATAGTGGATAATAACAATGTAACAATTGTGTCAACAATTAAACAATACTGTGATACGTCTTATGGCTAATATTACTGGGTTACTTACAATTAAGAAATATTAATTAATCACAAACAAGGAAGGGCAATAAGTATGTGAAAGTCTACGGTCAACACACACCACGTTTAACTATAAATGTTTATATACGAGTATCCTGGCCTGGAGGCTGTTCCAGGGGTCAACGCCCCGTGGCCCAGTACACGCCTAGGCCTCATTTACACACACACACACACACACACACACACACACACACACACACACACACACACCACACACACACACATGTTCCAGAGATGGGACACAGAAACAAGGGATCACAATTGGAAGTTGAAGACTCAGACGAGTCAAACGGATGTTAGGAAGTATTTCTTCAGCCATAGAATTGGCAGCAAGTGGAATAGTCTGGCAAATGATGTAGTGGAAGCAGGAACTATACATAGTTTTAAGACGAGGTATGATAAAGCTCGTGAAGCAGGGAGAGAGGACCCAGTAGCGGTCAGTGAAGAGGCGGGGCCAGGAGCTCAGTCTCGACCCCTGCAATCACAAATAGGCGAGTATACACACACACACAACGTAACTTGTATAAAGTGTTTTATAAATACTGTAAGTGTTGCTATCCCCATAAAATCATACAGCATTAATCAACTCCTAAATGATCAAGTAAAGATGGTAATATGTTAGTAGAGTTCAGGTGGTTGAGAGTTACGTTACACTGTTGTAATATTCCCACCTACACCTGCCGTCACATACGTTCTGTTTTTGCAGTATACAATAATTCACGTCTTCAGTTTTCGATTCACAGTTTAGTGTATAATATAATTTTGTTTCAC